AATTTTTCATTAAAAATTCACAACTCAGGACAAACATGATGTTTTTGGTATTTTTTATCATATTATTATTATTTGCATACGACATTAATCTAAGCATGTTGTTCAAAAACATGCATATTTGAAGTATCAATCAAAATTGTGCTTTTAAGGATACACATTTTTTTTCAAACACAAATATAATAAAGCTTTTAACTTAAATAATGTTTATGTGATGCAAAATTTAATGGTTAATAAATTTGTTATTTATCTTATTCTTCTAAAACATCATACGATTTTATTAATATAAATTTAAATAAATAATTCCTGTGCTTTTTCTGATTTGGCGATGTAAATGAACATTTGATTATACACTAAATTATTTTTTAATGTTTCAGTTCTTTAACATCTAATATGAAAAACTAAAATAATATTATAAAACTTAATGAATATAATATATTCATCCGATTACATAGTTTAAAATTTAAGATTTGTTCTGATAAAATAATTAATGATTCTCGAGTTAAAGTGATCGACAGAAATTATAAAACAAATTATAAATTATAAAAAACTATTCATTTTTGATTCTTTAGAATTAGCATATATTTCGAAGGGAATTTCACATAATCCTTAATATACTATATATATGTTTATGTAAATTTCATAAAACCTTTTTGGTAGCGTTTTCGTTTGACTAGTACCTTACAATGGATTATTTATAAAACAAAAGGTATTTATGAATCTCATAATTGAAAGTCTCATAGAGCTCAATAAATATATTTTTAATTAAAAAAAAATATTTAGTTCGGACGAGAAAGTTGTTAGACTATCGAATTTTTTTAATTTGCTGGACATTTTTTATTGAATTATATTTGTTTGTGAAACGTTGTTCGAAATTTATTTCACATTGAACATTATTAAAAATTAAAAACGAGTAAATTATTTGGAATGTTAAATATTTCATTCCGTGTACTTTTATACAAAACAAATAAACATTTTTCTTATTTTTTCGATTATATTTACAAGGTGAAAATGTCAACATATATTTTTTACAAAGAACTCACAATTTAATATTTTTTATAACGATAGTAAAGAATTTTCACAATGTTTTTTTATTGTTTCCATTACATCCTTTATTTTACATTATTGAAAATAAATTATTTAGCCATCTTCATGAACAATGTTTTGTTAATGATGCGTAATTCAATCATTGAATGACAATAAGATGTAAATTTTCCTTCGTATAGCTAAAAAATCTTTAGAATCTTTCTATGTGACAAACAGTTACACTACGTTTTGGTCTGTCTCGTTATAAATTATAATTATAAACAAAACGCGATTAATGAGATACATAGATTAAATTTAAAATCAGTTGTCACTTTTTTCTTTTTTTAATAAACCCGACTTTTAATTTTAAAAAATAAATAAAGCGACAAAAAAAAAAAAGGACGTCTAGTCAACAAAACATCTCGACTGTACACCATTGAAAAAATGTCAGACGTGAATAATATGATCGGTATATAACTGATATAAAATGATTTATTGAAAGGCTTTTTTTTTTTACAAACGCGATATTTGAAATGTGTTCTACTGGATCGGGTTATCCTGTGGCATACACATCACGTTTTTTAGTAGATTATCCGAACTAAGCAGAGTTATTAAAAACGAAATAAATTGTTGTCGTTTTAGTTGAATAAATGAACTGCCGTCTCTTCGCAATTATTATTATTTGGAGTGTCTGCGGTTTGCTTAGTAATATATTATTGTAATTGTTTTATTTTACTGTCAAAACCGCGCGTTGCCAGTAATTATTGTTGTTTGTTATAATGAAGACCCCTTGTGGTGCCGATGCACAGTGCTGGTAATAACAATAATTATTAATTAACACGCGCACCGGTGCCGCCGGCTGCTGTGCCGAGGACAGACCGAAAAACCGATATCGTACCAATTCGTTACTGCGCTTTTAATTGTTTAATCGGCAGTAACGGAACAAGATTACCATCACCATTCACCGGCGAAAACATCACGTCATCATTAACGAAAGCCCAGTAGCCAAGCAAACGGTTCATTGACGTGTCATAAAATATCCGGTTAAAACAACACCGGCTGCCGGCAACAACAGTCACCACCAGCAGAGAACGATCGCCTCCGGGAGTACTGCTCCGCTCGCCCATCGTCGATGTCACTGCTGTCAGCGTCTCTATATCAATTAACGTGCGTCGCGCACCGGCTTGGCGGTTGTTATTGTGTCAACCCGAGAAACCTGTAAACCGTAGAGGGTCGATTTCTAATTATTTATGTATTTCGACTAGTCTGGTTGCAGACCGTTTTACTAGCAGTCTGTCATCTCGTTGCCGGCAGGGAGATGATGTTGTTTGGTCAGTAGGCGAAATGGTACGCGAGCAATTGCTGACGACGCGATGACCGGTAGTTCGAATGAAGGGATGAGTTGTCAGGAGAGGGATTTTGCACTCGTGTGCCTGAACCGTTTCAAAGCGTCCATAACATTAATTTAAACCACCGTGGAGCTGTAGGTCGACGGAAAGGTTACACCCCGGCAGGCGACGGAAACTGCGGTAACGGTGCCGGCAGGGTTGATGGCGACGGAAGCCGCGGCGGTGGGGCATCGAGGTGGAGGGCTGATAACGTCGGTAAACGACGTGGTGTCGTTCGCCACCCCCGCGCCGCCAACGTTGTCGCGACGTACGGGTCGCCGTGACGCGCGCGCGCGCGCAAATCGCACACGTCGCAGCCCGCCGTCAGACACGCGCACGCAGTCGCTCCCCGGGGGCCCCCGGGTTGCTGGCGGTGGCAGCGTCCCGGTGTGGCGAGCGATAGTGGGGGTGACGGTTCAGGGGCCGAGAGGGAAGAGGAGGAGGAGCCGACACACCACGCCGCTTGCAACGCCACCGCCGCCGGAACAGCTGCACACGCCGAGGGGAACCGAACGAGCCTCGTACGCGAACTAAATTTAGACGACGGCCCCGCCGAGTTTCGTGGACGACCGACACCGACAACGACGGCATCGATGGCTACGCGCAGTCAGTGACGTTGCGGGGATCCCTTCTGTTCAGCGTCGGTTTTTAGTGTGCCGGCGGACTTCATTCGAAAACAAACAAAAGCGAAACACAAATCTGAACGGAACACACAATGTTCGGGTGCTAGTCGTATTATTTATCATTAGATAGCTTCGCGTGTTTTTAGAATTTGTTTTAGCCGACATATAGTTATTTTTTTATCGTATATTTAACGTTGTTGGAATAGTTTAATAAATCTGTCTCCGTCAAAATCATTTTTCCGTTCCGAAAAGTATAATATTTTACTATGTTGATGTCCGGCGCCATGACTAGTCCGGACACTAGCTTGTTGGGTACGGCCGAGGGTCTTGTAGGCAGTTTAGCGAGCTTGACGGCGGTGCCGGGCACCGGCGGCGGTCAACAAAAAGACACCACGTGGACAAAGCTGTTCGTAGGCGGACTGCCTTACCACACCACGGACAAGTCGCTAAGGGACCACTTTGCCGTTTACGGTGACATCGAAGAGGCCGTAGTCATCACGGACAGGCAGTCTGGCAAGAGTCGGGGATACGGATTCGTAAGTATCGACTGTTATTCCGACAGTAATTTTTTTATTGTTCGATCGCATCTAAACGGTTCGGGGCGGCAAACAGATGTTCTCCTCCTCCGACAATATTAAAAAACATATTGCGCTTACTGAAGGTTTCTCTTCGTTGTGTCTCCCGACTACGTTTAAGGAAAATTGTTATTTTTTTAAAATCGACGTTCTTAATTAGCCACCGCGAATCGTGTGCCACGACTTGATCGTTTAACTATAGAAATTCGTTACTCGGCTTACGCCGTTCGGACCTCAGTAACCCGCCAATTGTATTAGGCGCGTTATGGCTGTTTTACGTGGGGTTTGTACAAGCGGCACGAAAATTTTTATAAAACACAAGGGACATACAAACATGCGGCTGACGTTAGTGTAAATTCCGTTGAAACATGTGCACTATCGCCCGTATAACGTACACGTACATATCATGTGAACGAGTGTGTATATGTTATACTAATAATAATTATACACGCGGCGGTGGTCTCTTCAGGACAAGTCGACGGAACATTATGTGTACCGAACGGTATGACGTCAGTTCCTCGAGAACACAAAAACTGTACCTTTGTGTATATATCTATCATTTACAATCATAATTCCCTCGTGGGTTCGTCTCGGTGTCGTTTTTTTTTTTTTTAACCTCATTGCATAATCGCGCACAGAACGACCAATGACTAACTGAGAACGCACAGAATAATTATCAGTGCTCCATATCGTCAAAAAATAATAATGAGTGTAGACTTATTTTTTCCTCTCGGCCCGATGAATACGTACGCGGTATTATAAAATTTCCACTGAAAATGCGGTCGTTTTTTTATTTCTCCACGCCGTCGCCTTTTCTTATGTCGGTTAACGTTGTCGTCGAGACACCGTTTGCCCGAGTGCGTTACTGATAAGTTCCAACTTATAACAATGAATAACAAAACCCGGTCACGTCTGAAGAATTTATTTTTACCCTCACCGGAGATCAGCTGTTTGGCGCGCGCGGCAATTCATTTTCGCCACGACCGTCCGAAAACTTTAAGCTTTCCCGAAGTTTACGGACGTGTATTTATTTATGACTGTACGCACGCGGTGCCCAAACTGGCACATGTCGACGTGTGGGTTAACAACTTCATGTTTATTCGTAGCAAAAGCTCGCANCAACTTCATGTTTAATCGTAGCAAAAGCTCGCAAAACCATTAACGGAATTCGCGGTAATATTCATATTCCTAATGTCGTCTCGACACGAGTGCCACCGGCTGTTGTGTGAAGTAGTAATGCCGTGCGAAAGCAAAAAAGCGCAAACGCCACCAGGACTGGGGTGCAAAACGTATTTCGCTGGCAGTCGCAGTAAAAGGCTAAAACTACAACGACAAAAAGGCCTTGTTGTTGTTACGATTAATCGTTTTTTGCCGGTATAATTGCACACCGTGTTCTCGGCGCACAGTGTTTATCTTCACGATGTTTTACTTACGCCAAAACGATTATCAAAAAATATTAAATGTTATTACCGTACAGTTCCTACAACTTAAACATCTCATTTGTTCGAAACAATAATTACGGCACACGGTAACAGTCGCAATAATTATACTCGTGCAGCGGACGCACGGGAAACAACGCAGTCTATTATTCAATTTGTACAGGACCTCATACATTTCGAAACGTGTCTTTAAATTAGTCGCCATCGACACTGTTTTTCCGGCTCGAAATTGCATCTGGGCCCACCCTTTTGGCGCGTCATTTGTTTCCATTATACCTTTTTCATTTGGCCGGCCACCGCAACGAACACGCGGCAATGTTTGTTGGTAGGAAAACCCGTAAAACATCCAGTGGAAATATTCAACGCCGCCGCCGCCATTCAGCCTTCCAGACGCGTTTCAGACCTATATACACGTCCTGACAAACCGTAAGTCCCTCAGGACTCCGGTTGCTCCACACCGTGAGATGTTATATTGTCTCGAATCCATCTCGTGACTTCTTATTCTGCCGGGTATTCGGCGGCTCGTATGGGAATTGAGAATTCTATTCCAAGTTTATACGCTTTTGTTTGTTTGAATAATTTATTATTGTTTTGACACGCCGTTGTGTTGACCCTTCAGCCCGTACACGCATTAACGTTGCCATCATTCTTCTTTTTTTATGAAAACAACGTGTAGGGTTGATGAACATTGTTTTTAAAAACCGCGTACGTCGGTAAGCCGCTTACCGGATATTTTCGTCATCCGGAAAGCATGACCGGCTATTCAGAAACGTTATACTATAACGAGTTAAACGTTTTTGGTTCCAGGTGATTATGGGCGACCGTCCAGCTGCCGAGAGGGCGTGCAAAGAACCGAACCCGATCATCGACGGGCGGAAAGCCAACGTGAACTTGGCAATTTTGGGAGCAAAACCTCGTGGTAATTTACAGCCAGGTAAGTGATCGTATAAGACGAGTATTTTAACACCACAACGTCATCGCTATAAATACAACAAAAAATGTGTTCGTTTTATATGGTTGAAATGCGTAGGAAATAATTTGTTTGGAAAATCTACTTTAGCTCTTTTATCATGTTAATTATCGTCATTGTTCGAGAAACGATTAAATGGGTTTTTTTTTTGTAATAAAATAATACTGTCGTTACAATATCTATGGACACGGGCAGATAAAGAGCATTATAATTCAATATTAATTATGCCCGTACTGATAAAGACAAATCATTGGCGTGCACGCAAACTGACTATTTCTCAAAAGCATTATTCTAAAACGTCATTTATTTTCATTAAAATGTTACTTAAAACTATTAGTACATCCGCCGCTATTCCCTTAGTTGTTCTCGATGCACAATACAGTACTTTATAAAAAGACGAAAAGAAAATTATGCTTAAAAATAAGTTTGTTTTAGCGAAAAATGGGTTTTGGTCTCTAAGAGCTCTACAAAAACTTTTATGATACCGTGCCGCGTGTAAATTTATTATACATATATATATATACATGCACACACAATTTATTATACAGTTTGCTGTAAATATACAGGATTAATATACGATCTCCATGTAATCTAGTGAAATACAGCATAAAAATGTTAAAAATATATTTCATTATTTTACAAACGAATTCCAAACTGAAAGAAAAAAATATTAAAGAGCGATCCAGTCTCACGCAAATAATTCATTTAAACTTCAGTAAAATATCAAATTCGTAGATTTTTTTAAGCGTTTTTAAAACAATATTCTTGGTAAACACTAAACACGACGAAGTGTAAAATGTAGAAGGTTATTTCACCTATTCAAAAAAAAAAAAAAAAAACGGNGAAGGTTATTTCACCTATTCAAAAAAAAAAAAAAAAACGGCTGGAGGGACCCACCGTAACATATGGTTATCCTGTTGGTCTTGTATGCGAGTGTGTGCAGCAGTGGCACACCGGGTCGGTGGGGTATATCTATTAGTGTGCATGTGTGTGTGTATATAATGCACGGATACGAGGTCAATGACATGAAACCAACTGCCCCTGCTGCTCACGGGCCATGCCAAATTAAAACGGGGAACACTAACCCCGAGTTTTATTTTTGTACTCAATAATCATTCACAGTTGCACGTTCCTTACCGTGTATTTATACAATACATAAAATATATATATATATACATAAATACGTCATACGCTTTCCCCTCGGCCACTGCTGATACGGCACACACCCCAAACCGGATTTAACCGTACTGCAGTTTTTAATATATTTTTTTCACCCGTTTCATTCATCTAAAACTTGTTTCGTCCTACATAACATTGTCATAAACACATACGCGTCTATCTGCACATTTTCTAATACAATAATATATTATTATGTGCATAATAATATTACATCGCAGGGTTGAACGACTGGCACGTGTCCGTTCCGAAGCCGCCTAACGCCTGTGGTCGCGATACCTATTTTTCATGTATTGTATATGATACAAAACTATTCATACGACTCGTATCTGTTCCATTGTATTTGTTAACGCCAACTACACGTTACGATCCCTTTGCACGATATCTCCTACAACTTTTGGTCGTCGCCATTGGGTTTGCTCGACTTGGTCCTTTTTAGCTGTATACAATAACGTCCGTTTGTAATTAAGTAAGGTAATTCGCAGTTCAGTACCTTTTGCCGCGGCTAAAGCTTTATCTGCAGACTTTTGACCATTGCGTTATACTATGGGACGACGTGAGTTATAATGTGTACTTGGTCGAATTTGTTCTTAGAGCAATGCGTGTTGAGACTGTGTGTGTGTAATTACGTACTTTGTGGCCTATGTGTGTTGTTTTGATATCTGCTCGCGGTTCAAACTCAATTTTATTGCCTTCGTTTGTCTATTTGCACAACGGTAAGACCTGAATAAATATTGTTCAGTGAAGCACCTAGAAAAATAGTCTGAGTTTCGCTATAAAACTTCAGCTGGCTTTTGAAGAATGACGATTTAATTGTAAACTAAATTCATTGTGAACTTCCATACAATTACTGTTTGATTTCCACTCATCCAATTTACCAACACCTTTTTGCCCGCTGAGAGTGAAATTATTTCTAAATTCAAAACAAACAATCGATTTATAATTAATTATCAGTCGACGGCATAAAAGTAAAAATAATTAATTCAAGTTAAATTCCAAAATAATGCAACACGATCGGGTGCTTTTTGAATTACTTACCCGGGAAACGTTAATAAAAACTTTTGCTCAAAAGAAATTACCATTGGGGTTAGGTGGAAATCATTGAGGTACTTTTTATGATGCTCGTCTTAAAAAGAAAATCGTATGCTCATTGATAAACCAGTATTTGTATTATTTTTACTGTGTACATTTTTGCAATATTTTGAACACTTCGTCGTCATAAAGGAGCAATTTTATGTTTCATATAAATACTTCTTAGAGTATTTCGCAAACGTGTGCTGTGTTTTTTACAGGATAAAATTGTTGTCAGTAGTGTTATTTGCGTGCGAGAAACGAAACGGTAATAATGCTATTACTGTGTCGATAGATGGAAATTGTTTGTGAAAAATACTAAACATATATTTATGCACGTTGGTGTACGTGTACATATCACACAAATTGAAACCTCTAGAGGTAAAATGGAATTTAATATAAAAATACGGTTCGCCAAAAATCGATTCGTTCAAATTTAATTTAATAAAAGAAAATATGCCAATACCATTTGTGAATGCTTATGTGTCGCTTCAGTTGTAAATGACGTTTCTTTAGAAACTAATTAGTTTGTTAAGACAATTTAAAAAGATGCACTTTGCAGCATCAAAGTCATGAATTCTTTTTGATGTTCAAATAGTTTCTACGAATTCGTACGCTGTTTTATACATTTACTTAGAACAATCTAAGGGTTGAAAGTGTACCAATGGTTGTTAGAATGAGGTTTCCGTTTGATAATCGCCGGGGGGGCTTTAAAAATGCAGTCTCGTTTTGATCGTAAACACCCAAGCGTCAGAGTCGACCAGACCGATAAAATGGACGTGACCCCTCCACGCCCTCCATTAAAGCTCCTCTGTGTCCGCCGTCCTACTGCTCTACTATAGTAGTTACCCTTCAATGCCAGTCCCTCTCTGTCTCTTTCTCTTAGTTTAGTAACCACGGTAACAGCAAACACATTTGAACACAAAAACCTCGGAAAGCGCGTCCATCGCTTACATACATACATATCATGTGAGGATGAACTTGTAAAATGAATTCTTTTTTTATAACAAGCAAAATAAATTATCCATAATCTCAATTTTTATGATATTCTTCTATATCGCTGGACAGCAACGTACTGGCCTAAAATAATGCGTCATAGTTACTGAATGCACAACATGGAATACAAATAATGCAATTGTTTCAAAAACAATAAAATAGCATTTCAAAGAAAAGTCTCGAGGAAAAATCTAACAGTATGTGAAATCCAATAAACTTGGGTATTATCGTTGATTTTGTATTTCACATGTTATATTCATCGCCAACAATAATCATTTCTTATTGTTTGTGTCAATAAATGTCCCAGAGAAACTTTCATTATATTATTTGTAGATTTTCATTTGAAGACCTTTAAAATACGTTCCGTTTTCTTTTACTATCACATTTTTCAGTCGCTATTGTTTAATTAATATGGGTTTTAATAGACTAGTAGCAACACGATATTTAATCAATCGTTTACCCCAATTTCTTCAGTTTTTGATGATGTTTTTAAATTTTTTTTTTTTTGACATTGCATAGTTCAATTATTCACGTATTCAACCTGTTATTAATGAACAATGTCCAATTATGTTGAAACCATCATAATGCAATATCATTTTTCAACTATAATATCCATTATGTTTAATTTGATACTCAAACATCGTCAAACAGATTCTGTGGTTCGAGCTTTTGGGAAAAGATGCCCCTGGGAGAGATAAAGTTGTTTGATGGAAATGATTCCCAGACGTGTATTCTTCGTGTTACTAAAGATGCACCGAAGTGTGTCGAATTCATGTTTCTTCTAGAAAATGATATATTTACCGCGTAGAGTTATAGCACCCATTGCAAACCGTAAACACGCAAGTAATCCTACACCCGGCAAAGGTGGCATGACATTTTATTTTTCAACAACCCAGAAGAGAGGAAACTTTCAATTATTCGCGTGTCGCATTTTCCGTACAAATAACGCCAGAGAAGTGATACCTGCAACACGCGCGCACACTTAAAATGATTAAAATACTATTGCGATATGATACAACTGTAATGTATAAGCACATCTCGTTTTCAATTCACTTTTACCTCGTCTAACATTCGTTATGAATGAGCTTTTCTACCTAATCGTTTTTGTGTTTCCCACTTGTCATAGTCTTTCAAAATGTTCCATAGGCATCACTCTTCATTCATTACAATACACATTTATCCACGTCCCGCCACTGCACTGGAAGTACTCCTTGACGGGACGTCCATTATTTTTACTCCTCGAATTAAACCCGGCATACAATATAAATTATGTCAATGTTCGGGTTTGAAACGTGCGATAGTCGTAATACAGTTTGGTGGCGCGGGTTAGCGTTGAACTGATGGTAATTTGTAAAATATGTTTTAATAAGCGTCAAGTAGTTAACGTTTTCGTTCGTCTCGTGTGTCATGTTTGTAATAGAGTAATGAGAAATTATTCGAGATGAAATTATTTTCAGCGGTAACCTCAAATATTCTGCAATATCCTTTTGGGTTAAACGAACTGTGTCGTCCGAGACAAAAGTGTTTTATCCTCCCAAGTCAATTTAATGTGGACTTTTACAACCTTCCTACAGAATCTTAATAAAGTTTTAATAATTGATGATGATAAAAATGAATGATTTGTATTCGTTAAATGGATCATACACTAGCGTGTAACACGTTTTTAACGGACATCGAGAAGCTCAATAAGACCGATTTGCATTGCTAGCCAACGACGAATATTCATGTGCAAATTAACTCGCATTACAATTTATAATCAATAATTATGTAATGGGAACGACAGTTTAAAGTGAAGTCTTAAGGTCGCGGTAAAAAATTCTAACTAATCAGATAGTTTATTAACCATTTCATTACCTTTATGTCCATGTTTGTCCTACAAAAAATGTCTCAACTTAAAGGTTATAACTTATTAAATTATTATACAGTCATCTCTTGTATAATAGTAAATTTTTTTACATGCGTCGAACGCTTATTAACTCTTTTGACTCAACGGCGCTAATCATTCCTATTAACTTGTAATGTTTATTTTTTTTAATTCATATAATCACGATTAATTATGTTTACAATACCTATAGTCATAAACTCAGATTTATAAGATGTGTAACACGAGCTATAACAATTATAAACCTATTTGCTGTTGACTAAGTGTGTACTTGTAATTATTCCTAAAGACGCCATTATTATCTCAATCCTAAGGTATTGTCTAATTATGTTGCCAACGGTGCTATCTTCAGACCTATGGCATACATTAAGCCGACGGTAATCCATATGTACATTCATTAATTCTGAAATTCTAAAAGCGCAAACGTATAAAGCAACGCATTTCTGTCACTTAGATATTCACACTAAGACCTGGCAACCGCCGCAACAGCTAATGCCTGTTATCGAGTTTACACAGCTCTACTGTTCAGCACTGTTAGATAATCAAAATGAATCTTGCATTTGTTGTATAAAGGATAACAGCAATTATTAAGTAATCACAGACATGTAATACAATTAACTCTTTCGACAATATGGCCGGGCCATTAGTAAGAGAATATGTTGCAGGTTTAGCGGATTTTCATTCGACGAAAAAGGCCGACTGTTTGAAAACCTTGTACCTACGTCTAATTACAATATTTAAAACATTCAAAGCATGGCTTGTACTCTGACTGTTATTGTTGCTCGACAACATTTCCGTAACTATATTAATTTATGAAAAAATATTCGTCTGAAAACGTTTGTACAAGCCAAATTGGTTTTTAAAATGTTAAAAAAAGTCGACACAACGATCGTAGGTTTTTTAGTCACACCGCGTGTTCTATGGTCGGCTGCGTAATTATTTGCATTGGAGTATATCGACGTGTGTGTGTGCGTGCCAGTGAAGTCGATGTACAGTTTTGTTTTAATTTATTAATAGCGAAGGCCAAGGAGACGTACACACCGCGTACTAACCTAAGCAGACGTACATGTGCTGAACACACTGTGTACTCAAACAAATGCGCATATCGTTTAGGTACTACACATAATATCGTGTTATTTATTATTATTACTATCAGCTGAATGTAATTACCCGCGATTGTAGGCTCAAACAGTGGAGTAAAAGTATTTTATTATGCAAATTCACTGGAAAAATACTCTGACAGCTATTGACGGTCGAGCACGTCGACATTTATCAATTCCTTTGTAATTAAAGCCAATACAAATATTAAAACCGGAGAAAATACACCGTCAGAAAACGAGATATCAAAAAATCGAATATTGCGCACATTTCAAACACGTGTATATTTCGGGATTTGATATTTTCACGGCACTGTAACCCTTAAACTCTTGTAAACGAACGCCAAGATACGCATCCGCCGAGATATTTAAATATAGACTTGATTTTTTTTCTTTTTATTGGATGAAACACATTATAGGTAGGTGTCGGTTGTCATATGGACTAGCGTCATAGTTGATGGTTGTACTTTTACGGTGCGTTTCTTGAAATAAACTCTGGTCGAAAATAAATTGGACGATGATCAAAAAACTCAGGTGCACGCCCCGTTTGCTCTAACCGCCATTTCTGTTACAATTCTTAGTGCTTACACGACATTAAAGAAACCGCACATTCACATAAGCCCACGATAAATCCATTGTGTTGGAAGATCAATCGAAGTATCTTACGGAGTCGTCCCTGTTTACCAACACATTTCCAATGATTTTCAGTTCAAACAATTTCCTCGATTACGACGATATCTTCTTCCCGGTATTTCTAAATAACATTCGAAGAAAGAAGGCTTTAAAATATTATTCAGCGAAAAATAAACGTCCAAAGGGATTATTGGACCGTGTTCAGTGTGTCTCTGCGTGTGTCGTTATACAGCGTAATATTATTATTTGTAAGCACTTGTACCATGTCTTTAAGTCCCTAGAAATAACACAACAACGTCATTCCAGAATGACTCCGACAGAACGCTGGCTTCGTTATTTGTTGCTTCTAGGCTATTTTTATACACTAAACGCGGTGAATATTTTTTGTCGCAAACAACGACTTATAAGACGACATATTTTAACAGTATTCGAAATAGTATCTTTAGATATATTTTTTAGTAACTTAATACATATGTGCAACGCATTTAAAAGTGGTGATCTTTACCTAGTTATGTTGTAAGGACTTTGCTAAATGAAGTTCTAATAAAAGAAAATATGAATGATTCTTATGATATGTATCACATAAAAATACGCATTCCATTTTGTTTGAGGAAATTAAGGTCATATTAATGGTTTAACTTAACTTTATAGAATATATGCAGGAATAATCATAAGGATTTATGGGATTTTATTATTAAGTTAAAAATCTCTGAAAAATTATTATTGAGCTTCTCCATTAACAAAATAAATAGAACTTATCATATGACATTTTCGTGTTCATTTGTTGTAATCCTTGGTACTACTTAAATGAGAATAAACTTTTTTACTAGTTATAATCATTATTGCATAATTTTATATTTTATTTATATATTTATATATTCTTCAATCTTTATTCATAATAAATATATCTATACAAACAAGTTTATGAAGTAATATATATGATAATCTAATAGCAAAAGTCGTAGTATTGATAAGAGTTACTTGGCAAAAATAATCTGGTCATTTAAATAATAAGGCTTCATCGATGATGGCCGACTTGAATGTTTTAAAACTAACTAGCTATCCACACATATTAACAAACTAAAATTTATAATAATATTATTCACAAACGGCAATTGGCTTGTATATTAATATATTTTTATTTTTTTTTTTTACAGCATTTGCTTTCCCAAGTATAAGAGCTGGATATTCCGCTGTGATACCTAGTCAATTTGGGTAAGTTGATTTTTTTGATTAATTGCTTCTGCACAAAATTTATTATTTATTAATCAAATTCAAATAGATTTTATTTTATATTTAAAAAAATACATATCATTGGATGAGCGGTACTTTATGTAGAGATTATAAAAATGATTTATGTCAAAAAAGTAATTAGTCAAAATTCTTCAATATTTTATACATTTTCAAAATCTTTCTTCTTATTAATAGAGTCAAGTGACTAAAATCCAATAAAGAACAATTCTAATAGTAAAAGATAAGGCTCAGGATCAAATTATGATGCAACAATGATTTCAGGCACGCTATGTTATGTTAGTGGTCAAGTTTCAGTAGTTGAACTAGTTTTTTAAAAGGTTAAAAATAAAATATCATCAAAATAATCAATAAGGCTTAGGTTACATATTTTATAAACGAAGAATTTGGTCAGAGGTTATTATTTACAGGCTCGACAGTTGGGTTGTGGACTATTTACCGAATGATTAGGAGAGTAGCAGATATTCTGGATGAACAATCTCAGAAAAACTACAATTTAGTTACAAGTAAATTAAATAAAAAATGAGTTTCCGGTTTTGAAGAATTTTTGTTTTTTAGCGAGGCTTTAGCGTTTTTTTTTTTTTTTGCAGTTTCTAAAATAAAGTTTTAATAATTCATAAACAGTTCGATTTTTTTTACATTGAACGTGTGTTTGACGTGTGTGATATTATGTTTTATTTGTTGAAAACTAATTTACACGTTATGGTTTGTGGATTTGTGTAGTTAACACACGGTGATATTCGAAATGGTCCGGCTAACATGTTATAGTAAAAATAAGCGTAAAAAAATCAAATGAAATCGATTTTCCGCATAAAAACATTGAGTATTCGGTGTAGACTTTAAACATTAGACTCGAATAAGCATAAAGAATGCGAACGTTAAACATATTCTTTAAAAAATCCTTATGCTTCTTCAATGAAAGTCGACCTCATGCAACGTATGTAAAGTTAAAAATCTAGAACTTCTACGTGGAGTATTAACTAAATGCAATAAATTACCAGCATGTCCAACTTTTATCAGTTTTGAAGTTTTTTAGAACTAGAAAAAAAAAATAGTTATTTTGATTTCACTAATGCACATGTTTCCACCGCGTGCATTTATGTTTAGCAGTCGCTTTACAGTCACTCTAACGTGTTGGGTATTTTTAGTTTTGTTCAAAGAGTATCGGAAAACTTGCAACTGGGTCAGATACAACGTATAGAACTACTACTACTAAATGAAAAAAAAGAAAGAAAGAAAACAATAGAGCACGCACGCTATTGAGGTTTTACAGTTTTATATTTGAATCGTCACCCCAAGTATCATTGAAAACTTTTCTCCAACCCCTCTTCTTTATTCTTCAGTACACGTTCTGTAAATTGTAGAGTCTCATCGAACATTGAAGAGTCTTTCGTCGAACGTAGATGGTTATCGATATTATAATTATAGTGCCAATAGTTGTTACTTATTATTATAATTATCATTATTCAACGTGGTAATCACTATAAAGTGCTCTATTTAAGAGTGCTCGGTAGTTAGAGCGTTTTTGTTTTTTATATCATGTTGACAGCAATATAAATTAAATCTAAAAAAAAAACAAATTAAAAGCTTAATCCCGCTAAAGAAATCTGTAACACGTTTTCAATTACAACACCCCGACGGCACTCTTTTTCAGTATCTTAAGTCGTTTAATTGAGATTTCCTCATCTCTCGACGATAAATCATATAAACATAATCCGGCTCCATTTCCGAATTTTGTGAACAATCTTTGTAGAGATCAACTCAATCTCTAAAAATTTGGCAGCAATAGCCTTTCCTTAAATCTTCAACGATCTATGAAGTTTCTTAGTTTTCATGCAAAAAGCCGTTTGAATAAAAGCTCGCGTGGTTTTACAATAATAAAACTATGTTGATAAGTATACAAAACGTTCTGTTCAACTTCAGCTACACTATTTTCTTTAGATTCCACAAACATGCGTTAATTCATTGCGTGTTTATAATTATTGTCATTTGTTTATTAGCCTTTCGTGCAACGTTAAAAAACTTAACACATTCAAAGTGTGATCGTGTTTTACTAGAAAGTACTTAGTTCTTTAGCTACTTTCATTATCTTTTCAAGTATTACACTAATTTTAATTACATTACTCGAAAACGTTAGTTAAATGTAAGTATTAAATTCAAATAATTGATTTGGATACGTTATTTAATTACAGTAACATGAATGTAGTTATTTTATAAACAATTATTAATAGATTATTATTATTCTATTTTCATTAAATCCGTGAAAAGTAAGCCTAGGTTTAAATCTGAAAAACTAAATAAAATCTATTACACAAAACAATAAACTTTTAAGTCATACCTAATTTTTTTATTTCATGTAAATAAAAATAAATTGATTAAATGTCACTGAACAATTTTTCATTGCAATGAGCTGTATGACCCTTAACGCTATCTGAATACTATTTGATCGTCAATATATTTTGTTTAAAGTCTTGTTGTTGCAAAATAATATTAACTAAGGTCAATTAATTAAAAATCGAAACTTTATACGGCCGTATATTAGTTTTGGCTATTATTAAAATTCCATTCTCATGTTTAATTAACACTAAAAGGTTTGCCACTCGCCAATATCGTAAAATAACGGGGTAATATTGTTGATTTGCCGGAAATTATAATGTATGGAAGACTGTGTTTTTCATAAGCTTGGAATTTCCGATCAATAAATATTATTTGTAACTAAAACAAACAAAAAAATTCAATTCATTAGTTTCAGAAAATGAAGAACTATGTGCACATAAAAATCGAATAAATATTCTTTTGTATTGAATCGGATCAATACTTGAACTGATACATAGTCTTCTTAATTTCAACTACAAATATAATCTTAATCTTTTATCCTGTATAGCAATCGAGGAGAATTCGTTTAAAAGTTATCCCTGCCGCCAAATCGTCTGTTGTCATTAAAAGTTTTACCGACTATATACTAAAATATATGTATTTGTTGTGCAGTTTGTGATTCAACGACCAGTAAATAAATCTGTAAATATTTTTTCTATCTATACGTGATTTTTATATCTAATTGTTAGATGTTCAATATACCGAGATAGTAAAAGAACTTTCTTTCCATTGCTCCATTGATCGAATAATTTACATTGTCCACCGTAATCGTTATTATAAAATTTGTCGTCATTTAATTGCTCAGAATTCACCAATGTAGTTAACGATGTAATTTAATTACTAAATTAAAACACGAGTTTAATTCCAAAAGAGTTACAGTGGTGTTTTGCCCTGTAATTATTTTGATAATTTTTCTCTCTCGAATTTTACTACGGTTTTCGTTTGAATTGAAAGCGAAACAAGAGCAACAATTATTGCAGCCGAAGCTTCAAGTTATACTAGTGCGGTTTTATACATACGCCCACTCCACCATGTGATGCTCAAGTGGTAGAAGGAAATAAAAAAATAAAAAGCACTGGGCACAACCGGAATATGTCGTCGTCGTATGCACACGAAACGTGTCAATACACTACTCCACCCTATGCTTTCGCCCTTCTTTCTTGGTCGCTCCCTCCGACCCAATTGCCTAAAAAAAATGCCAAGCTATGCACAAACGAGAGAAAGAGAAAAAAATAATGGAATAAAGAAGAAAAAGTGAAGGGGAAGATATAAATATATATATATATATATATGTATGTATACAAAAACCATTGCGCTTCACGTGCGATGAGGCAGAGGGGGTCGCTCGCGCGATGAGTCATTCGACCGTGTTTTGAGTCATCCTCGCTACCCAACCCCGTTTCTCCTACCACACCACTCTCTGACTCTCGGTCACCATCGATCAGTGTGTGTGTGTGTGTGTGTGTGTGTATGCTCGGCTCGGTGCAACCCCATTTTCCGTTTTACACACCTCCCGCCACCACCTCACCACCTTGTCATAAACACTTTCGCTCGAATCCCGGGGCCCTTTGCCCGGGACGCACGTTCACCGCCACCGCTGCAAAAGCCTATTTCTCTCCCGTTCTCTCTTTTTTCTCCGTCCGCATCATCGCCGGGCTTTTGTGTGAGTGCACGGCATCTATCTCGCTCTGTCCAACAACGTTCTGTCTCTCACTCTTACATTTCACCCTCCATCTGCAACTTGCCATCTCCGTCCACAGTATATTGTATACTACGTCGCGTAAAATGAAAGCTGGATGCAACGAGGGTTTGCTTTGTGAAGAGGTGAGTGAGGAATGGATAGCTGAGTTTAATTTAAACGCGCCAAACCACTGCAGGTGTTTATTGTGATGAAAATCGCACGCTTCTCATATCAGCTGTGTAATTAAATAATAAATGTTAACGTCTAAAACATGTGACAAAATATATACGTCACTTTTTTTTTTTTCAAAATCTGTTGGTTATGTAGAGTGTAACATAAAATAAATAGTTCAATTAGTCGAACGCGCGAACGGAATACCTTTACACGATGCGGTTGCAAATCTCTTTAATATTTTATTTCTTGTTACAAATTTACACATTCACTTTTATTGCGTTTCCCAAAGCTCTAATCAACGTTGAAAGTAACGATCGACAAATAACCTGTTAGTAATATTGACTGGGTATCCAATTGCGTCCTTCTCTGGAAAACTTGAATTTTTTTCGAACGTCAATAGCAACGGCGTTGACGAGAGATGAAAGGACTGTACCCTGAAACTCTCCCCAAGGCCCTTCTCACTCAAACAAAACAATTCTCAAAAGTAATTTGAAAAATTTACGAACTGTGAATCTGACAGAATGCTCCTTTCACATGCCTCCTGCTGTTTTGCCAACAATAACTAATAACACTGTTGATTAGAAATAGCTTTGTAGTACCCAATCATACATAATTATTTTCGTTTAAAAATACTGTTTCAATACATTCTTTCATGACAATTTCAGAAATCACAATTTCAATGTTTTACTCATAATAATTATTAAATCCGTCAACAGTATGGAGTGTTGGACAAATGATTTAAAGAAAATTATAAGTTATTTTTACATAAAAATTATATTTAAATCTTTTGATATTTTATGGAATAATTTTTTAAAACCATCCACATTTAAAAAGTATTAATAATCAGTAAAAAGGATAAGTCATTATCACTCATTTTAATGTTTCAAAGTTATTTGTTATATTTATTTCTTCCGCTTATAATTTTATTTGGTTTAAAGTTTCAACTATTTTGTTGGAAAAAAATGTTTTAGTCTCATAAATTGTAAAACTGAATTCATGCTAAAAATTTGATTCTATTTATGAAATCGCTCGTATAAGGTTAGCAAATATTTGCTTCTATCTTGTAAATCGTAGTCTGCTACAAAAACACTTGATATATAAAATGAGACAATTTGAAAAATAACATGTTTTTCTTGTATAGAAATTTTATTTCTATTTACTCTCAAATGCAAACATAATTGTTTAAATAACATATTATAAAACTGCTCGTGTTAATATGTATACTATAAATTACACATTTACAGCTCTATTATTTAATTCGTTTATTTCGATAAAAGTCAATTTTACATTAAACGAAACATTATTTTCATAATTACTTCATTTAAGTTTATCAGAAATTTCAAATTTTATTCAATTCAAGATTAGATATGTAACTTTTAATGAAATACATTTTAATTTGTACAACTCTTTAGGTGGTTTTTAAAATTTTCAAGTCTTATAACTTATGATAAGTCTTATCATCAATGAAAATCTAAAAATATTAAATTAGTGTCAAAGGAATTTTATATTGCGTCTGTTTTTGACTTTTTAAAAATTTTCTACATTTATTATACTCATTCTTCTGAAATTTAGTATTTTCATTATAAGTAGTTGTATTAGTATAGTAGTTTGAAAGAAAAGGATATTTTGAAAAGACGATTTTTTTATAATGCGCAAAATTTTGTTTTTAAGTATAACTGGTGTTAATGATATTCTTTGGAAAAAAAAATTAATTCACAGAACATACTAAAAATACTCTGTTTGATGATGCATATTATAAAATGTGAATAATATCTATTTGTAGCTAGTTTAAAAAATAAAATAACATACAATAAAACCTAAAAAATACCATTTGGTAATGAAATCTTATTTTTGAAATGCAATAAATAGTTTTTGTGATGAATAAAATTATCAAATAATTCATGTGATAAAATAATACGTATTTTATAAAAAATAAAAGTCTATTGTTTAGGCTTTTATTGTTGTTTTTATAGGATATATTTAGTTGAGTATTAAAAGTAAAAAAAAAAGTAGTTGTGTAGTGTTAAGCAATAGAATAATTGCCGTGTTTTTATCGAGTTTATAGTTGTTTAGGAGCATATTTAAAAAAATGTTGAAGTACTAAAAGTTTGATTGAAAAGTGTGTCATCTCCAATTAAGTAGTCACACATTCCTTTAATTTTTTACACGTCGGATTTTCAGATACTCAGACAACTATGTGTCTTACATGTACTGTATGTAAATGACAATGATAACGCAAAAACACTAAAACTCTTGATGTTTTGCGAAGATGACGTTTATGATGATGTTTACGGCCATCACGGCAGAGATCAACCCGGCAAAAACGTATATAATAATACCAATACATATTACACGCGCATATTTATATAAATGTTATTAAAAAACACATATATAAACTATGTGCGTTTCGTGTGGTTTTATTTGGTTTTTTTTTTATTCTTTGTTTGCCATGTTTGTTTTTGCCACCAAGTGTTGATGACAATTGCACGTGTGGAAATACATTATAATACAATAATATGTTGCATAGATGTTCTAAAGGCCGGGCAGTTTTCTGTTGTTCGTTAATCGAAATTTTATAATTTTATTATATCTTATAAAACTTATTTAAATAATAATTATAGAGCGAAAATCATCTACTAATAACTTATCATTCATCACATAAACAAATATGAAATTAAACGTCATCGCCCATTTAAAAGATACTTTTTCGTAATAACATATGATGTAAAAATAAAAATGCATCGTCTTAATTAAATTTACTTGACTGACATATCATCACGTGCTTAACATTTGTAGGGTTAATTTTTTATTATTTCGATATTTATGTAAACCATCTAATTCATACTACTAAATAATGCATCTTAATGGTGTAATATATGTTCTTTAAACTGTATTATAAAATATTATGCGTGTTTTGGTGAGAGCTTTTTGTAGGCTTTTGGTGTACTAAATAACTTACTGGTATTATGTTTCATATAAAAATACATTAATTTTATAATCACGAAACAAACAATAAATAATTTTAGCATATTAAATTTTAGAATTACGTTGCATATTATACATTCAGTGATAGTACATAATTGTATTAGGCATCTAATAGTTTAATTTACTTCCAGTTTTGTGTGCAGGGTTTTTTTTTTTGTTTGCTGTGTTTTTACATACATTTATTTTTTGTTTTAGAAATGGAGCATTGATTGACAACTATGCTTTGTTTTTTTTATTATTGTTTAATATAAAAACACAAATAATTTAGTACTCCAAAACAAAATGGGTATTTTTTTACGTCACTTTAAATAATGCCTGGCCTTTTTTTAATTCATATAATCCATAAATTTGGATGCGACCGTGTTATAGGTTAATTTTATTAAAACTTTAGTAAAATAACTTATTTGTAATATATTTTATTTATTATTAATATTATTAAACTTAACACAGTAAACGTATTCTCAACTTGAAATGTGTTATTTAGTGCCTATTTTGTGTAGATGTATGATTAGTTGTATTTGATAAATTACTCTAATTAATAGAAATGTTATTAATTAATGGAAAACGTATTAGCGCCGTTCCCGATGTTTGTTCCCGTTCCTAAGTGTAAATTTAATTTAAAAACAGTTAAATAAGTAATATGCATAATGTTTGTAGTATAATAACATGTTATGCGTTAAATTATAGTTTAGAATAACGCATAAGGCGTAGGGGAAAATGGCATGGAATACCTCTTACATTGGGTATACGTCTGAGTACAGAACAAAGTATCTATAGGCAAATATATTGATCAGTAAAGTATAAAAAAGTGTACAATATCAATCAAATTTTTATACAAATGACGACAATCAATGACTCCTTCCACCGCCACTATTGCTATCACACGAATATATGTGATAAATAATAAATTATGCCTAAATAACATGAAAAAAAAAAGAAATGTTCACTTTCCCTGTACGTCATAGTCCTTTTTTCTTTACTCTCACTCGAGAGTTGCCGTTACATATCTATTAACTGTAAAACAAGAGCACCTTTTGTATCTCTAGTATAATATAAAATTAAACGTTAATGATTATTAATTAAATGTATTGTCTACTTTAACAGGATACCATCGCCGTACGGGATATGCTCGAATGGTATAAAATGGTGAATATTTAAAAACATAAAACATTTTAGTATTATAATTTATTATTATTAATCATTTATTCGCAAGCTTTTGCGGTCTCCTTGTAAAATTTGGGTTTGAAATTCTCCTCCCGTCGCTTGGGGCACATATTGTTTTTTCTTGATACCGCTTGCATATAGCAGAAAGTACGTTCAGGATTCAGACATCCTAACTTGCGTAAAAGGAAAGAACGCTCTAATTTATGATGGCACGTAAACCAAGTGCACCATCGCCTCTATCGTTTATCCCTTGACACAATTTCAAATAAATTGGCTTTGGTAAACTAGACATAGGTCTCAGTTGACCTATTAATACACTTCTCATTGAAAACTTATCCGAAGCGTCATTATACCCTTACCTTTCGCTTTTTTCATTAAGAACGTGTGCACTTTCATCTAGTCATGCAGATGATTCAACCAACGTGAACTTTAAATGCGTTGCTTTTTTTTTTTGCTCAATCGCTTTTAAAATTATGCTACTCTCTCTCGGGAAATATTTATTTATTTATCTCTTCCGGTATGGAAAACCCGTCAGCCCTTGGTATTTACATCCTGTTGAATTATACGCTATGCCATGGACCCAAACGCATTTTTTTAACTATACAAACGACATTTATATAACAATAAATCTCTAATTATTTCCTACTATTTGACTTTTTTGCTTCACACGATAACCGCTAATAAAAATTAGGTTAAATTTATACACAAATGCAATAAACGCGCATTGACACATTTTTTTTTTTACAATCGGTTATGCTGAATTTGAGTTGAACGATTAAGTTATGGAAATATCACAGTTTCTATTGAAAAGCACTTTGGTACAATTTTAAAATATTACCCAAAGAATTTTATTCTACAAACTATTCATTGATGAATGCTAAATTTTAAAACGGAACAGAATTTTTGCGTCGCATTTCAATGTGAATAGAGAATAATAAAAATGTTCTGTCATATCTGGCATTATAACATTTTCATCATTGTTAAACTTTTATATGAAATTAAAATCCTTGTCGAACATTTTAATTAACCCCCACATGTCAGGAAGTCTCTCCGACAATAATGATCAGACCGTAACGAGGAACTCATTGCCATTTATAGTGTATATACGCAAACAGAATCTAAGACTACACGTGAATTGAGAATTTTATAAAATGTTCATTTGTCGTTCTTTTGTCCGATATTAGGAACTACAAAATAACAAGCATAGATTTCAAAATAAAAATATGGATATCCTAAAAAAAAAAGTCATTAAAATAATTTTTTAGTGTAGGTGTGCACTACATTTGGACATATGTCCAGTGACCGAAAATGCAAAAGTATCGAATTCCCCTGGGTGGAGGGGGTTGGACACGGTGACTATTTTAGTAATAACTTGATTCACTTAAAGCATATGGGTAATGATGTATATTAATGAGTTTATAAATTAATAAAATATCATATTTAAATTACAATCGTACGCACAGAAAATGAAGGCGGTCAGCGTAAAATTTAAATTGTACAACACATTTTGGCAAAAATTGTTTTCTTCAAATAGATTATCATCGTTATTCACTGTCTTCTGCTACTGCTCAATATATCTTAATTTACTTTCAAAATAAAGAGACTCGTTTATTCCATTTATTTAATTTTAATTAGTGTACTATCATTCAACAGCATTATTAGAATTACATCTAATATTATTTACTATCATAATTATTTGTTAAATTCGTATCATTCAATGCGTATTACAACATGCCAATTTTCTCTACCGAATATTTTTAATTTTTGTAATTTTACATTTTATGATTATGTGAACTTGGGGTTTTCTGACTAAAAGATTAATGGTGTATGCATAATAATTTTGTGTTTGATCAAAAATAAATAGTTGATTTAAAATCTAGTATTCAAGCATACGACACGCGTTCAAAACAAATAACAACCATTATTGTTTCAGGGTGCAGCCAAGTTACCTGTACCAGAGTCAAGCAGCCAGTGCGGCATATTTGGGAGGTGGTGGCGTTATGCCATTAGCTCCTACGCATGCCGCTGCGATGGCCGCAGCCACGTCGCAGTTCTACGAGTACCAAAACGCGGCAGCAGCAGCCGCCGCAGCAGCAGCTCTTTCATCCTATCCGTCGCAGTACGCTGCAGCAGCCGCAGCGGCCGCATCCTTCGATCCTTACACAACGGCAGCCGCAGGTAACGAGTCATATACTTATCTTATACTACTACATCTTCTTCTTAGTATGCGCCTTCTCCAGATTATATAAGATACCCGCACCAGAAAGAGTAGAGTTCTAGTTTTGGGTTCAACAACCCTCTCACACGTTTCAAATTTCTCTTTGGTTTAATTTTACAAAATCGATACTTTCCGGTTTTCTCAAAAACTGAATCTCATACTTCCTGCAGTGTACAAATGACAACACAGTCTTATTCTTTTATTATGAACATCCGCTTAAAAATATAATAGTCAAACATCTGATAAATTGTTTGTAAATCGAGAGACAAATTATTACGCTCTATCGCAATATGTTTTTTTTGCGCTTTGCTTATTTGTATAATCCAATATTCATTTCTTACTATAAAAATATATTATTTTAATAAACTATATATATTATATTTATACCTTAATTTTACCTCCTACTTTCTAAGAGCACCAGTGCAATTGAACTACTTGAAAAATTCAAACATAATTGTATTCAAGTAGTATAACCTCTCAAAATTTCTGATAATATTAAGTGTCTAGGGATTGCATACAAAATGTTTAAAGCTTGTTTTGCACTTTGCCAGCACCCTCTGTCCCTATCTAAAGATCCCCCAAGTTTCCACATACTTATCTAATTTGTCTATGTTTTATGCATCTGTTACAGCTGGTGCCGCCAACTACGTGACTCCATACTCTTATGCGGCGCTGCCCAGCAGTACAGCCGGTCTGCCAACAGCGGCAAATTCGGCCACCGCATTCACAGGACTGTCGCCTTACACAGCAGCTGCAGCTCAACAAGCGGCATCGCTGCAAGAAGCTAGACTACAGTAGCATTGTCAACTTAAAACCCGCGCCCTCCGTCCTAGATTACGAATTTTTCAAAGTCAGGGACCTCGGTAGTGTCATAACAAAACAATTGATAATTTTATAAAAAATACAAAAAAAATATTATATATATATATTACATAAATTACATTATTAACTATGAATCTACAATAAGAAAAACTTTACTTAGGAATAAACCATTAGGTATATTATAAATATTATTAAAATTTCAAAAAATAAAAACGTTGTTATTATGTAACGGACTGGCGTTAAATGTACCAAAAAAATAATAAATCTGTTGAAAATAAACCTATTAGTCTAGTATATTTTTAAATGTTAGGGAATAATGAATATAGTACTATGTAGTGTTTTATATTATAATAATAATTCTTACGTGGTCTGGGCCCGGCACAGGCGTACGGATATCGGAAACGGACGCGTGGGAAACACTTACGTGAAAGGGTTTACCACGACTCGCGTACATCCGGATCCGATTTTTTTCAAGGGTATCGATTAATATACGACAAGACATAACAATTATACTCCGTACTATAAACGAATACTTCATTTTATTTACCGGGCATTTGCATGTATTAGGTATATTGATTTTCAATCCCCACCAAAACCTGTTCAAATTAAACTAGCCATGTAAACCATTTCGGGCCGTCAATTTGGATCATACATATGATTGTTATTGTCATATTATTACACAAAATATAACATAGTATATTTTAACCAATTACACGATTTTATTAACTTTACCAACTAAAGTTTAAAATATAAAAATGTGAAATTGGGTCATCGCCGTGCAATTGCATCGCAAACGCGCATATTATTATTTTGTTTAGTTCAATTCTATTATAAATATATATACATTTATATATACATTATTATTTCTTATTTACAATTATTTATTTTATTTATGTATACAAGTTTTGTTTATTTGATGTTTTAGATTTAAATTTAAAAATGATAATGTCATTATAGCATCAAACTTAGGTAATTATTTTTTTGGGAAAGTTAAACAATATTATTTTACCAGCATCAGGAAATTTATTCATATAATATATGTATACATTAATGTGTGCCAAAACGTGCATATTGGACAGTATCATTGTGATATTTTGTTAAATTTTCATCAGTAACTAACCCAAAGTTAAGTGCAAATCTCCATCAATATTGTACGTTTAAAAACAAAAATCGTTTATCTATTAATATTAGTTGATTAATAAGTTGACTGAAAAAAAAAACACTTTTATAAAAAAATGTACCCATATTAAATGATAAAAGAGATGTCTTAAAAAAAGCTCAAATATTTTTTTATAGGCACACAGCTTATTAACTGGTAGATTTAATGGTAGAATATTTTACCATTGTTTAATTGTATACAAAGTCTTTAATTAATATTCGTAATATCTACTTTCATCCGCAATTATTATTATCATTTATAATATATAAACATATGATTATTTATAAATGAGTAAATAAAATTATACTAATAATATAATAATATTATGAAACTATTGATATGCCTAGTCTTATTATAACGTCATTATTATTACTATTATTACTATTATTATTATTATTATTATTATTATTTCATTTATTTCGTTTTAATTCATAGGTATAGTGTAATATTAAATTATAAAGAATTTATATCATAATTTTAATTGAAAATACAGCCACATCTCTAGTCATATGTACAATAAGATAATTAATCAATTTTAGTTTTAAGACAAAAATACTGAGAATGTATTTATAGTTAACTTAAATATTAATATTATTATTACTATTATCATTATTATTATTATTATTATTATTACGTAACTATATAAATTTATAATGTATTGTATTTATACATATATTTATATTATTATTAAATAGGTTTATTTTATACAATATGTTTAATTACTGTTAAGGTGATATTTACGTCAAACTGTTTAATTACAAGCACAAGGTAATGTAATCAATTTGAAAACAAATTAATTACAAAAAATTTTCTTCTCCATTTATATAATGTTCATGTATATATATATATTTATATTAATATATTATATATATATATATATATATATATATAGTAATATTATCTAGTTAAATAAAGGCACCCATTTTCAAATATCAAAAGATATTACCCCTCCAAATAAAAAATATATAACATATATCTTTATCATTAAATAAGTTAAAGAGCTTAAACATTAAAATACAGGTATATTTTTCTTCTAATCCGTTAAATTATAGGTTAATTATAAAATTGTTCAAACACTCTTATAAAATCCAGACACCTTGTAAAACATTTATTATTTTTCATAATTAGAATCTGAAAAACGGGATTATTTAAAAAAAAAAGCTATTACACAATTTTGTCCGTGTATACATGTATAATGACTTTAAAATGATCTAATTTTTATAAACAAATAAGACTGATGTTTGTTTTTTACATTTTAAAACCCGTTTATTATAATATAAAGAGTCAATGAGTGGTTTTTTTAGCTTTTAGATGGTCGTCATCGTCGTTGTTAATTATTATTGGATTGAATTAAAAGTAGTTCCATTTTTATTAGTAGGTGTATAGTATTTTTCTAAAAGTGGGGTATATAATCGAATTTGTTTTAGCGGATATAAATACCATTCAAACAATTTTCACTGATACACAACTTTAAACAAATTATTATTTTATAATAATTTATTTTTAATTATTCTTTTTGCATAATTTATTTGTCACTCATGCATATTCTACAATAAAAACTATATAAACGCACCTAGTTACGAATGTAATATCTGTACTAATTAGAACACAGACACTGCACTTCCCCTACATAAAATCCGAAATGAGCACATTATATAAAGTATTAATATGGAATAAAAATAAAAATAATATTAAATAAAATCTCTTAATGTACAAAATAATAGTAAAGATATTACGATATTATGTTCAATCTGGTGTGCCTTGTATAAACTACATTAAAGTGAAGAAAAAAATTTTAAAAATAGATGTATTTTTGATATAAATATATATATAGACATAATGAAATGTTAAAAATTAAATATTGACGTTCATTTATATTTAATTCAATTGTTATCAATTTGTTACCTATACTAATAAATTCTTAAGATAATCCACAGATGTAAAATGTATTTAACACTATTTTTCGAATATTGTATATAATATAAAACATATAAACCGATCCAATGCGCTGGATAAAATACATGTTTTAATATGTACTTAAATTTTTTTTAATTAAAAAACAGAACGATGTATGGACATATCGATGTTGATTAAATATTTGTTTTAATACTTTTTTTTTTGTAACTTTTATAAATATTATAATTTAAAACGTAATTTAATTTCACATATATATTATTATTATATAAATTAAATACATTTTGTATAAATATTTGATTAATTTTATTATAGTAAGATTTTTATTGGCGATATGTTGCCAACGGTGAAGCTAGTCATATGGGAAATATTCTGGTGCACCATGTAAATTTATTTTAATGTAACGTCCAACGTTATACAAATAATATGAATATATTTATATGAATATTATAAAATTATTTAATGAATATTAGTAATGTAAGCTTATAAAACGTGGTGATCAATATCATCACATTAGTATATAAAAATAAAAAAATTCGATGGAATTTTAGTCAATATTAATGATTAACTTTAAGATATAGTTGTACAATAAAAATTTAATTAAATAAAAATGATTAAAAATCAAATACGTTTTTCTTGATAAAATGTTTTTTACTCTTTTTTAAAATTTAAGAAAATCAATTGACAAACGCACTAATGTGGTAAATGCACTTTTAGTTAAAAATAACATTTAAAACAAACTAATTTTTATCGAACTAATAAGTTTCATAAAAATACATACCATGCATGTTTGTTTATTAGTAAATAGCAATTATTATTTTATGATTTTTCTTTTTCAATTTCGATAAAATATATTATTCACTGTTCACAGTACTTATTATATATCTCCATAATCTTATATTACATCTATATATGTTATAATTTTTCCAACCTTTCTGTGTAGACAACTGTTTACAACTAAACCAAAATTTTCTACATAATGAATCACTAGTCTAATCAGCAAATAAATTTTATTTTAGGGTTTAAAAAAAGTTTTAGCTATAAAATCATTGAAAATTTTAAGATTTATAAAAGAATTTGAAAAAACTTCTATCTAGTGTGGACTGAAAATTCAAAGGCAATACTATTTAGCAACTCTAAATCATAAAAAATAGTTTAAAAAAATCTGATTTTTTAAAATTATACTAATAAGTATACCAGGTCTAAATTATACGTTTTTTAAAATGTTTATAAAGAAATCGATCTGTTATTACCTCACTTGTTTATTTTTTATCCAAATATTTGTAATCCATAATTGATGATTCATTTCAGAAATATTTGAGTACTTTAAATTTAGTAGTCACAAAAAATATTAGGTTCCAAAAATTCTATAACAATATGTAATGAAATAATTTTTTTTCATCGCTTGAGGGTTATAAAATCTGAACTATAATTTTCTTAATGAGAACTCCTATTTTTAACTTAATAATATAATAGAAAAAAAATTTTCTTTTTTAACCAATCATCAACTGTTCATATGTTACATATATCAGTTAAGTGATTTTAAAAACAGATGTATAGTACACTTTGAATGATAAAAGATGGTCTTTATAATATCAAGTAAGGTTTTAAATTTTAACGAACTATAGTAAAAATTTTAAGCCATAACTTCCCCAATATACTTGGACGTTATAGTTAGCTTCAGATTAAGAATTACTTTCGATTTCGCTCCTATTTTTTTCAATAACAAATTGTCTTTATTAAACATGTTAATTTTATATAATTTAAGATTAGTATAAGTATGGTTCCTTTCTATTCATTGTAGCACAACTCCTTTCAATTAATGGAAAGTAATCATTCTATTTAAGAGAATTTTCAAAATCCACATCAAATTTGATAAATACTATCCTTGTGGTAATTATTATTAATGATATCTTGTTTATACTGACTTACAAAATAATCACAGGTTTTTAATATATTTTCATGTGAAGAGGAATTTATTGTTACACTAGGTATCTTTGATTAACAAAAACACCAACAGTATTTGTATAAGCATTCAATAGCATATATTGAACTTCGTTGTATACTAACCATATTAGAATATTTAGATTCGGTGGCAAATTCATAAATAGTAAATGAGAAAAGAATCAGATCAAAAATTGTTCAAGATTTAAGAATTGTACATAATTTAATATTGTTTAATTTTATATATGAAAATGAGTGTCTTATTCTTAATGAATCATCTTACAGTACAAAAATGGCTCCACAGCTAAGTTACTAATTAATTTTTATAATTGTTTATTGACAATTAATATTGTTAAGTATTTAATAATCAATATTATAAACAAGCAATATTTATTCATTATTATTGTATTTGAAATGACTAAAATAAACTTTATAAATGTTTTAAGTTCCGAGTCCTATTTATAACTAAGATTATAAGTGTTGTTTTATTTTAGGTATATTTTGATAGTGGTATCGCAGCACAGTGTAGACGTAACATAATAGGGATAAGTATAGATGATATCTGACAGAGATTAAAATATCTATCCTAAGAAATGCCTTGATGCAAATCTACAGAATATTTGGTAAAATGTCGCTTACGCCAATTACTTTGAAAACGTCTGATGTTATAGCTTTCGAAATTTAAAAAGAAATTTTAATTATCTATAGACGCAATTTGGTTTCATCGATACAATTATTTTTGTTTATATATATATATTATATATAAACATTATTTAATAAACTCTTTAATATTTTTTTGATTGTTGCCTAGTAGAAAAAAAAACAAATATTACTTATCATTTTCAAACGGTAAATATTTGGCAATGGGAGATGATTTAATTAATGAAATGGATACATTGTGTGACTTTTTGGAAAACGACGAATATTTTATAGTCGATACCCAAGATTTCAAAGTTCATAGATCATCGGGATATTGTTGCCGCGATCCAGCAAGGCGTCGACGTCAATCCGTTCAACGAGAAAGTGCTTGTAAGCCGACTGAGAACTGCTGCCTAAAATGTTTAGGCGCAGAAACCTATAGAAATAATCGCGATAAGCTGCTACATCAGGAATGTAAAGAAAAAAAATCAGAGCTGAAACCAATTTTCAATTATTGCTGTGCGACAGAAATGTATACGAGGAAACGGCCAGCCATAGAATCTCACGATCAAGCACTACTTTCATTCCCTCGGTCATGCTGCACACCTAAGTGTTTTAAGACATCTGTTCAAAAATATTTTGAAAAAGTTACAAAATGGTTCTGGGATACAAAATGGTACTTTATTATCACATCATTGGGTATTATTACCGGTTTGTTTTTGGAATACCATTTTTCCTTATTCGAGTTCGTCTTAGAAGACAACTGCGGTTGTGTCGAAGAAAGAATATGCAATTAAAAAAATTCCGAAAAAACACTACTAACTATTAATACTTACTACTGATTTTTACATAAAATCTGAATTATTTTAATGACCAAAATTAATTTACTATGAAATGTTTACAAAACTAAGTTCAAAAATTATTAATACGGTTTTTATTCTGTTATACCAGAATGATAATGTAGAATAACACCATATTATTAAATCAGTCTAGATAATTTTTTATAATTTATTTAAAGATCAACTAAGTTGAATAATTCTCACGAATCGGTCTGTCAAAAAATTATGATAAAAATAATTTGTTTTTTCATTTGCAGTACAACAATAATAAAAAATAATTTTAGACTATTTGTTTTTAGCGTTACATTATAAATTACTAAAATGAATTATCGGTCTATTCTGAAAAGTGAAATAACATAAGTTCCAAAGTTAAAAAAAATAATTAAATAATAATTTATTATATAGGCTTTTTTAGATATTTGATATATTTTGAAAAAATGTATTCAATGAAAGCCTTTGTATATTATTTGTTAAGATAAAAAATTAGCCAGTACAGCACATAACAATAAACTATTTCTTTGAGCTATTATGTATTTAAATCAATTAAAATACAATCTAAAGAAATGTAAAATAAAACATCTACTTTGAAAAATATTAATTATTATCACTAATATGATTAGTAAATTCTATCTAATTTTCTAAATTTTGGTAAAAATTAAGCTTCTAGAATAGTTTAAATCTTAGTAATTATTTAAATGTGATAACTTTTTTTTAATCAAAAAGTAATCAGGGTGTAATAAGCTATTTGTAGTCCCTAGGCGCAAGTACTTATTATTATAGTACTTAATAGTTAATATGGTTCTGAATGTATAAGTGTAATTTTAATAGCTACAATATTATCATAATGACACTTGAAAATATATGTATTTCAACCAAAAAACTTATAATTACAAACAAAATAAAAAATATATATTGCATATAACTTAAACGTATATATTTTATTGGCATAATAAATAATCACACATAACATTATTTAGTTGTGCTATCTTTCAAAACAATAGTTCTATTGAAGACTAACTCAGTGTCTGTTGAGTCATAATCAACACAATAGTAACCCAATCTTTCAAATTGATAAGTTTTAAGTATTGGAGACTTAAGTAAATGATTATCTGCAAATGCAGTAACAATTTTTAATGAATTTGGGTTAATATCACTTAAGTAACCATTAGGAACTTGACTAGAATCCTCTGGATTTTTGTGCATGAACAATCTACTATACAATTTAACTTTGACTTCTATTGGATTTGAAACCCAATGAATAAACGCTTTTGGTTTTTGAGTTTCTTCAACTAGTGTAGCCTTCACTCGAATTTCTACAATCGATGTATCTAATTTTATTACTTCAATTACTTTGACTACAATACCAGCATATCTTAATCCTACTGTTTGACTAATAGTCAAACGTCTATAATCTTTTTCTCCATTTTCACAAAAATCACTGGATTCAATATATATAACTGATGAAAATTCAATATTATGACATCCTTTATCTGGATCACTTGGATAATCAGGTACACTAATTACATTTGATTTTTTAAGTTCATTAAAATTGATAATTATAATTTTAATAGGTTCCTGAACAACCATAGTTCTAGACGCTGTGATATTTAAGAAATCTTGTACTTCAGATTCAAGCATTTGTGGATCAACAATTGTTTGTGCTCCAGTCACTCCCATCCGTGCACAAAATGAATTAATAGACTGAGCTGGAAAACCTCTTCGGCGCAATGCACTTAATGTATATAAACGAGGGTCATCCCAATCATTAATAATTTTATTTTCAATAAGTTTAGCAATTTTTCTTTTAGAAACAACAGTGTAATTCATATTGAGTCTACCATATTCCCACTGCACTGGACAATAAAGATCTAATGAATTACAAAGCCAATAGTAAGCAGATCTACGGCTCTGAAATTCTTTTGTACACAGAGAATGAGTAATATTTTCTATAGAATCACAAAGACAATGAGTATAATCATAAGTAGGATAAATACACCACTTGTCTTTTGTCCTATGATGTGGTAGAAACTTAATACGATATGCAACAGGATCTTGTTTGCCTTCTTCAAGTGTGACTTTCATCCTTAAAGTTGCTTCACCTTCATCAAAAACTCCATTTTTCATATCATTTAATAAAGCTAAATTTTCTTCAATTGGGCGATTACGCCAAGGAGATGGGGGAGGGTTGAATCCTTGCATGTCCTGTTGTTTTTGATGACAAACATAAGCTAGTCCTTTTTTAGTTAATTCAATGGCCCATGCATACAACTGATCAAAATAATCAGATGAATGAGTAATTTTGATTGGGTGATAACCTAGCCATTCTACCATGTCTTTGATTCCAATAAAAAATTTCTCTTCTTCTTTCTCTGGATTAGTGTCATCATACCTAAATACATAAATATTATTATAACACAATAAAAGAACAAGATAAATTAATAAAAGTTTAACCATTAACATTACCTAAGAATACATTCTCCTTTGGAAGCTTTAGCAAATCCAAAGTTAATATTAATTGCTTTGGCATGTCCAATATGTAAAATTCCATTAGGTTCAGGAGGAAACCTAGTAATTACTTTTCCATGAGTTTCTTTAAGATGTTTTGCCAATAGTTTTTCTGTATTTGGAGTAATAACATAGCCATTGGTTTTGAAGTTTTCTCCAGGTTTATGAAAATCTACTTTACTTACTACTTCTTCAATAGACATTGGTGTATAAATCAAGGATTTTTTTTCAATATCAGGTTTAGTATCTTTCATTTTTTTCTGTTTTTGTACAGGAGCTAAATCAGCTTCAGTTTTAGCTCCCAAAAGTTCTAATACTTGAATATCTACTTCATTTTTCACAGTTTTACCATCAGCCCAGGGAAGTTGTTTTCTCACTTCTTGCATGAGACCACCAATGTTAAACTTATACCTTTTTTCTAACAACTCATTTTTGCTTTGCGTTATAATAGATTTAACTGTTTGCTCTATTTGTTCAGGGGTAACAACAATACCAATACCACATGTTTTTTCAAAATCTGGTAAATTAATTTCAGTTTCAGAAATTGACGAACGTAAATATTCTAATGCACAATCTATTCTTTGAATAGTATCTAGTTTATCATTAGATATGTATGAAACCATTAAAGATAAGTGTTTGGAATCTTGATTTTTTATCTTTGATGCAAAATGATAAAGTAAAATTCCATACTCAACTATAGATTTCCCTGTTTTTAAAAATTCATTGATCACATTTTTCAAATTTAAACTCAAATTTTTATTTTTAATGGTCTCTTTGGCTTTAGCTTCTGAAAGGCCAATAGTTAAAAAGAGCTCCATGTCAGACATTTTCAATACCTAGAAAAGTTGAGAGTTTAAATCATTTATATTTTAGAAAATTAAATTTTATAACTTACTAGTTTTTATAATAAGTTTCTGTATATCTTTTGTTCTAAGCAATGCACTAGAAACAATTCCAATTGGAGTATGTAAATCTTCAACAGCAATATGATTGTATTCTCCAGTTGTACCAATTAATGTTGCTTCTACTGTTGAGTTATCATATAATAAAATAGAACAATGTTTACCTATTAAAATGAAAAAAAATATTGAAATAAAACTATATTTTTTCCATAGAAAGTTGCATCACCTAATTTCATATTAGAGGGTAATACAAGATATTCAATTAAATTGCACGCTTATATATTTATATAAATGTATAAATATATTTTTTCTGTTTCTAAATTCATGAACATCAGTGAAATCAGATGATTAACAATATTTATATATAAATCAGCAGGAATTGTATATTAATACGTCATATTTTTTTTTTTTGCTTTATAAGAAAACATGGTAAGTAAGCTACAAATCCATTTCATAACAATATTAATAAAAATATTAAGTTTAATAGTTAATATGATGGGTATTTGGGCATATATGTCATAAAGTTGATTTTTTAGAGTTATTAATGCATATTATTACCCATAAATACAAGGAAAACTATTTTCAAAGAGAAAAAATTATTAGACAAATGGGTAGATACTAGAATTATTCAAATGTTTTAAAGTTTAATAATTTACATTTTAATAGTATTACTTTTAATAAAAAATATTTTAATTATTAATAAATACTTATTTTTTAATAAAAAATAAATTAAATAAACAAAAAAATTAATTTATAAGATAACTAAAAATTAGATGTATTAATTTATATTTTTGTTTTTTATTTGTATTAAAAATAATATGAGTTTTCCATTTTTATTTGTTTATAGTTTTTTACTTAAATTACATAGTTTATAATGAAAACTAAATTATACATTTTAAACATTTAAATAAATATTCTTTTATTTTTAAATTTTTAGTCAAAAGCGTCAGGATAATGAGTTTTATGGATTTAAGTACTTCACCAGTCTAAAAATTAGCCGTCAAAATTTTATACAAAAATAATTTTACAGTGGGAAATTCAACGTTTTCCCCCCTAAATAGACCACAGTACGCCAACGCTTTAATGCATATTTTAATGTATGAATTTATGAACACAACAAATCAGTAATATTGCACAAGAAAATTTTATATGCTTAATGAGCGATTAAAAATCAAGTTGTTTCAGAATCCATTTAACAAATATTTGAATGTTTCGTAGGTTCTACAATTATTAAATATAATAATAATACTAACACTTGAATTCCTTTACAAACATACCTTCAAAATTTGAAATTACTTCAAGGAATCGTTCTCTTAAAAAACTAGCATCGATTTGCTCTTGACTGCTCATGTAGGTTGCAATTTATAAATATATTTTTCACGTCAACGGCAATAGAATAAGATGATAATTATGATTACAAAATTTAGCTTATGTATGCAAATAATATAAAATTACGCGTATGCAGTAATAAAATTCATCACACATGCAACTCCACCCCACAAATCACGTTCAAATTTTCAGATTATGTTTTGACGGTCGACCAGTCGGCACTTGCAATCGGCTGCGTAGGTATACGTTTGAAGCTAGAAACATTTATAAATAATAAATAAATATTCATAAAATGTTTAAAAATATAAATAATATGTTTATTGTTCAATACTTTGTTTCGATTGATTACTCCCAACTTAAAAACATAATATATTGATTAATTACTATTTCCAGTCAATTATTTTATTTCCTATTTTCATAACCGTCTCCTTGTAATATTTTGTATTAAAAATGTCTCTAACATGTATACCTCGCCCATATCAACAACAACATATACATTGTATTTGTATAATATACTTTTTGTGATTCTACCCAAGTTCTCAATTCTATTATTCATATAAAAAGCGCTTACACTTGGTTTACCATTATAATTAATGCTTGTTTGTAATTATCTTAATTAATAATTTTACTGTAACTTATAGGATATAGTTTAATAGTCTGTAAGTTATTGTTTCGCTAAAAAATTAATAAAAGTAAGTGTAGATTTTTAATTGTTTTCTTTATAAATAACCTTGTAAACTAAAGTTTATGTTTTAATTAAATACGTATTACACAACATAATATAGTATTATAAAAGTTACAATTAAAGTTGTCATTCTATGGTATTATTTAGGAGATTTTTGAAGTATCTTCTATTGTCTTCCATGCTCACTTAATTTGGATAGTTTTTTAAGGTACAAAAGAATAAATCATTGTCAATTTTATTGTAATAACAGTTTAGTATTAAATATTTAGGTGTATTTTAATATTATATGAATTTATTTTATTCACTAATTCCATTACTTCAATGTGTGTGTTACATTTGACTGTTATATTAAATGAATGTTCATATCTTGTAAGTTTACTTAATAAAAAAAACTTAAGTCAGAAAAACCATTTTTATTTAAAATAAATATTTTAATTGATAAAGGTAAGAATATAATAATATGTTATTTTAATGTCTAATTTAACAGAGAAGTCAATTTAATTTATATAAACTTAGTATACTCTGGGCCATAATAGAAAGACACTTATGGCCAAATGGTAAAATATAAGGCTCCTATCTTGCCTTATTGCTACTCAGTTACATTTTCTTATTGTTTAATAATTATTGTACTGGCAAATTATTTTGTTTCATACGAATTCTTTTATCAAATTTTTTAGTATTTTATATTCCTTACATAATATAATATTGAGCGCTCAGAAGCCGAGCTAATTAACTCCACTTTATTTCAAGTTATTCACTTTTTTAATAATATTAATAATAACAGCATGGTTAGATTAAAAAATTTATATGAAAAAAGTGGATTTATTGGCTTAGCCTCTCATATTAAAAGCTAATTTTTTTTCTTTGAGTACTAATTCCACTTATCAATATTTAACCTTATAAACTTTTTATCTATCTTATTTGTTTTTAAACCTAAGAATATTTAATTATTTTAGGTAACAATGGGTGATGTCACTGCAGCAAGTGCTCCTACTGATGACTTAAATAACTCTGGATCATCTTGTTCATCATCTTCATCAGATTCTGATGGGGAATCTAGTAGTTCATGTTCTAGTTCTAGCTCATCTTCATGTTCAGAAACTCCAAATAAAAAGTGTGATGCTGATTGTACTGGATGTGATGAAGATAATACACCAATAAATGGTCAATTAGATTGGCTAGTTTGTCAATTATGTCTACACAAAGTTAAAACTCCATTACAGTTGAAACAACACATGCGCATGCATACTGAACATAAAGTACATCGCTGTGCCATTTGCAATAAATCATTCGAACAAGCTACTCGCCTTGAAAAACATATAGCTATACATTGTGGTACAGATTCTCGTTATGAATGTGCACTGTGTGGAAAAGTATACAAACTTCGCACACAAATTGTTAGTCATATTGCAGCCCACAAAAAACAAAATGCTGGCCGGCGTATATCTTACACTTGTCCTATTTGTACAAAAAAATTTTCAAATAAGTCAAAACTCAGAGAACATGTATCTGGGCATGAAAATGGTACTTTGCACTCATGTGATGTTTGTGGACGAACTTTCAAGTTGAATTCCTATTTAGTTGTACACAAAAGAACACATGAAATGAATGTTTCCTATACTGGAGATAAGCCATTTACATGTGCATTGTGTAGCAAGTCTTTTTTGAGCAAAAGTAATTTAGACTTGCATATGCTTGTACATAACTATGTTAAAAAAGCTTCATATAGTTGTGAAATCTGTGGGAAAATATTCATGCGCAAGTATAATTATGATGCTCATATAAATATTCACCAATAGTTAGTAAGTTTAGTGTTAAATTTTAGTTAAATAACTTGGGTTTTTAATAGCACTCTTTTGTAGTAAACTGAAACTGTGTTTATTATAGTGGGTTTTACATTTACTGTACAATTTACAGTAATATTTTAAGTGTTATTATTAAACATGCCTTTATTTGATAAAATTTTAAGACCCTTATAAATTCTGAATGATTTAAAAAATGTTAATCGAATAACTTTGTCATAAAATGCCTTTTAATTTGATATTTCTTTGAATTTTTTTATTAATTTATTTTTTAAGGTCATATATTTTTATCTTTGTTACTACTCTAGCTCTATATTCTTAATCTAAATTAAATTTGGTGTTCTATTTATTTTTTTACTATTAATGTGGGCCCTGAATATTTATTTACCTCTATTTAAATGTATTGTATGTATCTATAACTAATTTATTAGGTATCTAGCAAGTAAAATTATTGTTTTGAAACCATTATTAATATTTTGCACTTAAAAAATTAAAAACTAAATATTTTTTTCAGATAAATTTAAATTATAGACTTAATTATTAGAAATATCATTGTTTTGTTGTTATTTTTTTTTTTTTATTATGTATTTATAAGTGAATAATATATATTAAGGGTACTTTATTTATACTTAAAAATATAAAACTTTTCTAATTTTAATGTTAAGAAATATCCTAAATGTATGTAAAATCAAACATGCGGGTATAATCAAGAAATAATTTTTCTTGTTTTGAGCATTTATGTTTAGTGTAAGACAATCATCAACTTCAAGTTTCTTTTTTAGTAAATTCTCATTTCAAAATGATATCTTATAAAAGAAAACAATATTATAATTTATACTATTTGATGAATATATAACAATATTTTATGACTACATTTTTTATCTAAATTTTAGATAAATATGTTTTAATTTGAATTGTTCCTTTATTTTTACTGTAGTAAATGTTCTTATTTAAAATTTCATTCCAATATATAATTATATTATCCATCAGCTTAAATATTTTTTGAGCTTTGAATTACATGAATAAGTTATTTTTTGAATACATTTGGAACACAACTTATAAAATGTTTATACATTCATAAATTATTTTTCATTAATCAAACTATTTAAAAAATATTTCATTATTTTATTGTTTACTGAAATTTTATACAAATTGATAAATTTCATTTTTGCTAATTTTAAAATTTAAGATGATCAAGCTCAATAACAAATTAATATAATCTGAAAATATTTTTAATTTTAATGTTTTCACACAATATAATATAGATTATACTAAAAAAGAACTTTCATTAATTACACTACTCAATAGTAAAATTAATTTTTTATATATTCATACTGAATTTAAAACAATTAAAAATAAAAACCTACAAAAATTAACATTTAAAGTAATTTGATATATTATTTCACCGATTTTAAGTTATGATTATATAGTCTAAGTACTATATGTCATCATCATAGTATAATTATTCTTTAATAGAATACACCATACATTTAGAACAAACTTAAGGAATTTAAGATTTTTTTTAATTTTGTGTTAAATTAATTGCATTATAAGTAAATCTATTATATAATATTGATGTACAAATCATGAAGTTATTTATTATATTTAATTTTTATATTATTGAAATAATTATTTTCAAATTTAATTACTTTAAAAAATATGCTTTTGTTAATTTTATTCCTATGCTCTTTTATCTATTCTCGATAGCATTATTGTTAATATTATTTGAACTTGTAAAAATTAAAAAATATTTGTACAAGATAAGTAGTATGTAGTAATTATTATTATGCTTTATGCTTATATTATCATCACTATTTAATTATACTATAAATACGTAAGAAAAATGAGTGTATTATTTAAAATTCATGTAAAAGATTTTTCTTTTAACCTTAGCTATTTGTTTTCTCTTAAAATAATGATTTTTTTTTTTTTGTTATCTCCATTTATTTGTTAAAAAGTAATTTTTTTGGTCCATCCCTTATATCTTATAGGGGTGTCAACTTTATTGTTTTAAATAGCAACATCCTCATTTCACTTCTAGTTTTTTTTTTTTTTAATACTTCTAAAGTTTTTGACTAAAAGTTGTTGTTGACTTAATTTTCTTAATTAGATCACTTTTTATTTTATAAGTTACACAAATATGTAACTACCTAAAAATTATTATTTTAAGAAAAATCGAATGACTAGTGTCTAAAGAAACACCTTGTACATTCCTTCAAATAAAACATAAAATATGATTTTTTCTTTTTTTATAAATCTACTAATATATAGAATGATTCAAGGTGATTTGACAAATCTAATAACTTTTGATCTAGTAAATATTTTGCGTTATTCTTTTTAAAGTAATTTTTATATTTTTAAACTACATTGAAATTATTTTGTTTATAATTATTATTTCTTTTTAATTTCAAAATAGTCATGTTGAGCTCTTTTTTTAAAAAAATTTTGAAGGTTCAATTTTGGGTCAAGTATTTTTGATGTTACAATAATTTTATTACATAGAGTCAGTATGTATCACGAGAAAGTGGCGTTTTTATTGGAGTGAGACAGTTATTACATTTTTAATTTTAACTATAATTTTTTCCATTAACAACTTTTATAAAATATCTAAATTTATGCTTCTATACCTTGAATCATTCTATATATTAGTAGATTTATAAAAAAAGAAAAAATCATATTTTATGTTTTATTTGAAGGAATGTACAAGGTGTTTCTTTAGACACTAGTCATTCGATTTTTTGTTACCATAAAAAAAATTTATAATTAAAAAGTAATTTTTCTTAACCTTAAACAACCCTGATAGGTACTTTTTTCACCTAATTAAATTTGTTATATCCTAAAGAATATAATCACATTGTAATGTTTATAAAATATTGTAAAAAATATCATTAAATTCAAAGATAAATAATTAAGTATTTTCCACTGTAAGCACAACATTTTACACATAGCATTTTTGTTATATTAGATTTTTTTATCTCAATTTTTCTATAATTTTCAAATTTCAATAGATTTTAAAAAAATTGCCGAGTATTTTTCTTTAAATTCTAGGAAATATTCAGTCATTTTAATCTCTATCTCCAATTGAAATAAAAAATAAGTTCTAAAAAATGTATGATTCTCTGATTTATCCAGATCTAGAAGTAAATTGTTTAAAGCTTTTATAATAAAAAAAAAATAGACATTTAACTATTTCTTCGTCGATTCTTGGAAAGAATTTAAATAAAATTAAACTTTCATGACATAATATTAAATGTATTTGATGAATCATAAAAATATAAAACACATTATATTGAAAAATACTTCAAAAGAGAGTTTTGAGAAATAAAAATAAAAATCATTAAAACTTAAACAAAGGTGTACTGGTTAAAGAGACTACAGGAAGATTGCCCCCTGGGCCGCTGTGTCAAGAGCGACGAGGATAGCTATAAATAGCTAAACCCGATTTGTAAAATGAATTTTTTATTTGTGCTCATCATTTCCTTTTTTGGAGCTAGCAGAGTCGTCACAATTTTTGAGTTCCTTGACATCCTTGCCGCCCCTGCATTTATTAATGTAGATCAATTAAAATAAATTAACAAAAACTTTTTTTCTTCTCTCGTGTTTATAGAAAGTGTTCAGTAAGTAAGGAAACAGGTCAATTCTTATAAACAATGAAACCCGTTTCCTTATTTACTGAACACTCTATATAATACATAGAACAATTTTCTAACATGTAAGTGTATAAAATATATATTTAAAATCTTAATATAACGATAAGTATGTTGAAATTGTTAAAAAAAATATTTTTAATATGACGAAACTTACATTGAAGTCTTATTACTTGAACTCATATAAATAGCTCACGGTTTGACGTCACATTTTACTATCAAGTTTTTCCAGCTTGTGTGAAATCACTAAAACTTTCATTCATGCGTTCTTAATTCGTCATCAGGTAATAGTAATGAATGAGTGCAACACACTTGCACATGATAATAGTAAAAAAAACAAAAAGTTTTAACCTAAAATCTAATTTTACACTCTGTTCGCGTGTGTTTTATTTAGATAAGAATATTTTTCGAAAACAAATAACTTAAAATAAATTATGGTGGTTAAAACACAGACCAATGGTTCGGAAAGCATGTTTATATAGGCCCCGTAAAATATAACTCGTACGGACGAATTCTGTATAAAAGCTCTGAGAGTAAAAATTTTAGCTCTATTGTAAATTTTGTCAACTATCGAGAGCATATACTCAATGATGTATAAGTAAGTATATAAAAATGAAATTAATAATTAGTAAGTTTACACTTTTGACATAATTTGGACAATGTTATTTTTACAGGACTTTATCATTCACTGTTGGAATTTTACTTCTTCTGTTTTTTTCTTTTTCAACATGTGACGTTTGTACTAAGACTAAAAATGTGTAAGTTGATTTATATTAAATTATTTTTAAGCAAATACATTTTTGATGAGTATTGGTTATTATCAACTCAACAGAAAATAACCAGTACTGTAGTAAAATAGAATAATTTTTGGTATATATTATGTAAAATAACTTGTGAACGTAATCTAGTTAACAAAAAGTAAAATAAAAATAATTTTATACTACTATAAATTAATTCTATAAGGCAATAGTCTATGATAAATGAACTTATTGTAAAGACATGCTAGAAAATAATCATTTTTATTCTAACAACAAAACGAAATTTATGAATACATTTATAACAGGCAGAGGCAAACGGTTAAAACAAATTTAAAAACTGTAGTAGTATAAATTACTTACCAAAATAATAAAATTATTTTTAGCGGCGAGGAATACTTCTTTGGAAGTAATAAAACTAATATTAAATGGTGAACTTGGTCAAGAACATATTTTTTCTTTGTTTTTTCCCGGTGATAGTGGTCAAAACCAGTTTAATATAAATAAAAAACGTTCTTATACACTCGGGTGGTTAAGGTTTATTATATTGAGTTCGGGCGGAACAAAAGAGGCAATAATCTTGTGAAACTCCGTAGTACGTAAACGTTCAATGGATCGTCTTGTTGCATATTCTTTTGCGTTTACAAAATATTGAGAAGCCTAAGCCGATATTTTTCAAAAAAATTTATTTTTTATGTTTTAAAACAACTGATAATTCTCAACAAAGATTCAAATAGTGTATACGTTTACAATGCCTACATATTTTTTCAGAAATTTTTACAGTGAGTTTGCGCCATCCTTGTCTCAAGAAAAATCAGTTGTTATGACACGAAACGGCTCAAACACATATGAAGACGAATTGACAAGTTACTACGTTAAAGATACGTACAGAACTGGTAATTTGAGAGTCAGAGTTGAAAGTCGCAGGATACGAATTGGCGACGACAAAGAAGGATCAATCAGGTTAATTACCAGGACAGAAGATAATAATAGACGAGAAAGGTTAAGGAGATCGGTTTCTTTACCAAACTTTCACCGTCAAAAAGCCGTTGAAGAGTTTCGAGTAAACAGAATAGATTTGGACTTTCAACGGAGGACACAACATCTGAAAGAAAGCAGAAAAGTTAGAAACGTAATGATCGAAAATATATTCGAAAAGAACCGAAGAACTGATAGACGTTCAGAAAGAAGAGAGGAAAGTAGACTGGACGACGGACGACGAAAGGAAAGTAGATTGGACAACACACAACGAGAAAGACGAGAAAACAATAGATTGGTTGATGAACGAAGAGAACGACAATTGAATAGGAATGTCGAAGAAAGGAAAAGAGAAGTCTCAGTAAATCAAAAAACGGTATGAATTTATTTTTTAATCTTGTTATAAATGTTAAAATTTTAAAAGCTATTGGTTGTGCCAGAGAGGACGGAATCGAACTCCAGTACCTACACGCTGAGGCACAACTAACTGAACTGAGTGGCCGCCTAATTATACTTCCTAATTATAGTTAGGATGTATTTTATAAAATACATTTTAATTTACAAAATTATTTATTAAAATAAATTTTATTTTTTATTTAAACGCTTTCGGGTTAAACCCAATCGAAAACTTCAACATTATTATTACATATTTAAAAGTCATATTATGCTCATCATATTTAATTAGAGAAGAAATGATATTTTTGTCACTGCATTATTTTGATCGTGGGCCCACTCTTCCTTCTCCGGCATTACTAAAAATTGAATCTAATCTAAAAATATTATTATTTACAAAAATGATATATAGTTGAATTTATAAATTAAGAATAAAAATGGAACTATTCTATAATTTAAAATTATTTCGATAGTCATGTTTAGAAAAAAACTAGATACATTATTTTAAAAATTTTAATTTTCAAAAAGACCTTTCAATGTATTTCTTAATGAGAAAGTTTTTGTTTTAAACACTGTAAGACATGATCCAAAAATTCCCATACGTCAATATGATATTTTTAATATATACGTTAATTTTACACCCAAGTACTGTAATTTTGACATAATATTGTAAATTCATACACAAATAAATATTATTGATCACTATTATCAAAAAAATTTTGTTACATTTTATGCCTTTAAAACTTTTAGTACATGTATATGAAATTTCGGACATATTTCGAAATGAAGTTAAAAAGGTATTGATTTTACTATGATGTGTTTTTATTTATTTACCTGTATATATTCTTGTGTCTATGACTTAGTGTGGTTAATTTCTATTAGACCAATTTTGTTGTAATTTCATTACATAAAAAGAACTCGAATCATATTTAATTGAAAACAACACACTCAAAAATTGAAAAAATTCCCTTATTTCTTTTTTCATTTACAAAAATATTCAAAATATTAAAATCTTTGGAAACAAGTTTTGATTTTTTTTTTCAGTTTAAAAACTAGAATTATATTAGTTATAAAAAAAAATTTAATACATTTTTTTTTCATCCATTTTTGAAAATGTTCTGCAAGACTGCACACTTTAATCCTATATAAGATTAAATAATATATTTTTGAATCATTATATATAGTATAATGTACTGCCCAAATACACGAGCATTGATTCTTATTTTTTCATTGTCTTTATCCAAACTGTATGAGGTTAGTCACACACGAGTCAAGATTATTAGTAATCAAGCATTTAAAAAAATTATTTGGCTCAATTACGAAACACCAAACTTTGTAAAAATTTACCATAGGTATACCAACCAAACAATATTTTGTTTTAGGGGAGGAGTGTTCTAGTTCTACATAACTAAATACCTAATCAATATACAGTATTTAGTATTAAAAAAAAAAACCACAAATATCTATTTATCAATGATATAATCGGGATAACTTAAACAAACTTTTTAAATTCTAGTAATTATTTTCGAAAACTAAAGATTAAAATTTTTTTTTTAATTTTCTTATTTTTTTTCACTATATTTTCTTTAAATACATTGACATCAAATTATTTTATGTTAGTGACTGTCAAACGTTAATATGTAATGGTTTTTACATTACATAGTCCCCACTATGCTGGGTCTTATTGGCACAGTAATTACTAAAGCTCAAATTTTAATACATTTGCAATTTTTTCAGAGTTATCATAAACAATGTTAAATTTTAAATTTGATTTATGTAATGGAAAGTTGAAAAATGAAATTTTAATTTATAATTATTATACTCGTTAAAAATATATAAAAATAAAAAATAATTTTTTTAGAGCAGTTTCTTTTTTTGGTATTTTTAAGAGATTTTTAATAATTTATTGATATTTTCAGTTTCATTTTTTAGAGCATTTTTATTTTGGACAATTTTAGAAGTTCTTAAGAATTTTTTTCATTGTTATTAGGGCATTTAAATCTGGGCTTTAGTAATTACATATATTGGTCTATAAAAAAATTAATTGTCTCTATCTTATAATTTTAATTTTTATCATTTCAATAATTACAAAGTAATATAAAACATCAATATATTTTATAAATTTAAATAAATCATTATGTATAAAAATAAACTTGTTTAGTATAAGTCTTCTGTTTTGTTTATAGAACTCTATTTCTTATAAAGAAGAACAGACGTCATCTTGGTAAGATTTTTTTAACATTATACATATGTTCAAAAAGTAAGGAAACAGGTCAATTGTTACAAACAATGACAACGGTAGAACTCCGTTTCCTTACTTACTGAACACATATGTTTCGTATTAATTATTAAATCTAAACATTTTTTTAGGCCATTTTCTAATTTTGTCCAGTCAGCCATTGGAGTATTAGGTCTTTACTATTTCGGCCTTCATAATAAAAGTATCAAATGAAAAACAATCCAAATAAAATATTTTAGAATTGAATATTAATACTTATATAACTATATGTTATAATCATTTATTAATGTAATAAAATTATCTAGTGTAAAATAAAATTCTTCTTTTTTTATATATATTTTTTTCTCTGAACCTGAATGTAATATATAAATTATGTATAAGGTCTATGATAAATCCTGAGTTTATGCATAACCATACAACCATATAACCACGGTTATGGTCTTCTTTAAAAAGGGTCTTTCGTGTATATTACCGAAATCAAATTTATTAACGTTGTTAAGAGTTATGCAAAAAAAACATAACTATCCGAGGATTATCAAAAAAGTTACTCATAACAAAATATTATATTTAAAAATCTTATTGTAGATATGTATTTACAATAGATAAGATATATTTTTGGACCTACCATTTCAATTTTAAGACATTACAATATTCTGTCTTTTTTTTCATTAGCTTAGGAGAAAAATATTCAGTTTTTTCATATGTATTTGTAAAATTATAATTGTAATTTAGTTTGCTAATATTCTGGGTAAAACTTTTTATAGAAAATCTATAAAACCGCATCAAATACATCTGAAACAAGAATAAACAAGAATAAGTATAAATTATATAAATACTAAAAAAAAATGTTGACATAAAACCTCAAACTTTATTTTAAACCTTGGAACCTATAATTTATCTTAATTTGGAAACAGCAACAAAATGAAAAACTTCAAATTCGATAAAAATAGAAATGTTACCAATGGGTGGCTTCATTTCTAGAAATTCATATCCTATAATTTAATTTAAAATAATGTGTATATAATATGAACAAAAAACATATTGTGTTTATACAGATTGTTATGTAAAATAAAGAAAGAATATCCATAAAAATAATGAAATATATAGTTGATGTAAATTGACTAGATGTATTATGTTTTATAATTAATAAAACACAATTTAATATTACCGCTCCATGACAATTTTCGATTCCTCTTAAAATTTGCATCTTTAATAATTTCATTCGCGTGATTGCTGATCATTTTTTCACTACAATTTTTTAACATTTTTCGAAATTGATGTCTAGTTATCCGACCTTTTACATTAATTTTATCGAAAACTTTCTTAAGTTCTTCTAAAATCTTTCTACTTTTTTTTATGTAAAAAACTGTTTTGATAAATTGTCCAAAATCCAAAGTTTTTCCTATAACAATAATATAGCGCACCTCAATAATATATCATTATTACACACGGTCACTCCTGTGATTTTTCCAAACAAAAACAATTATATTCCCATAAGTCGGCAACCTCTCTCATTTTTTAATATTTTAAATTTAAATTGTTTAAATTTACGTAAATTATTTTTACCCATTACTTTTACCAGTTTTGTTTCACTGAAAAATTTGGCGTTAGAATGGAGTGACTTCAACGACAAGGCATTGCCTTTAATAGATGATGATGACCTTTACCAGTACCTCACCTAACCTATACTAAATTGAACCTAACCAAACCACCATTATACTGAAAACTGTTCACGATTATTATCATAGATTTACTGTACAAATATTTCGTACTTGATTTCACTTGATTAATAACATAATATTGTGCAAATAAAAATTCAAACTATGTTTTTAATACAAGTAAAACTTTGTGTTTAAAAAATAACTCATTTGGTCCAAACAACGCGTCTAAGTTGTGGGGCCCGTGTTGTGGGCTACTGCATCCCCGACCTTAGGACGACCCTGTTTTTTACATAAAATTAACTCTGAAATACTCGAGTATGAATATTATTACATTAGATATTAAAAGTATTATTAACAAAATTTTAATTTAAATTTTAAAGATAATATAAAATCAACCGTTACCTTTTATAAAGTATTATTAGTTTTTATAATTATATTCAAGACAATCTTAAAATATACAGTTTATATTTTGTATCACCAATCAGTGTTAAGTATACTTTAGATATAACCAAACCTCACCTGATTTTAATTTAAAGTAACATTCAACGGCAAAAATTGAAAAAAAATCTCTTTAATTTTAGGAATTGAGAAAAGTATCACAAAATTAGGCAGCCGTTGAAAATAAGAAATATTAAAATTTAATTAAGTTTAGTATTTTAAAATTATATTAATTTTGCCACTGTCCATGACAAATAACAAGGTGACAATAATAATATAACTATTTTCTAAAATTGATTGGATAATTCGTTTCATATTTTGTTGAAATGCATTTTTTTTAGTAACAATAAAAATATTGCAAAAAAAAATGTTTTCTACTTACATCAATGCATAGAGCTAAACCAAAATAAAAATTCTGAATACAACATTGCCATCAACTAATCTTTATTTTTTAATCCTGTCGTCATTAGTAAATATTTTTAATTTGTAGTTTTAGTGAAATAGTTCATTTATCATTACTTAATTTTGTTAAAATATTGGAATAAGTATATTTTTTTATAGTTGTTATAAATTATTTCAAAAATCTCACTTAAATAAATTCTAATAAATACATTATAATGTTTAAAAAATAAAATATTTTTATACCATTATCATCTCGTCTACCAAATAAACCATCATAATCACTTTGGGTTGGCGAAATCCCTAAGTACCTCCATACAGCTTCATTATTTCTTTCAATAAAATCTTTACCATTTGAAAACATTTCAAATATTGCCATATATTCATCGAGTTCGGATGTTAATAAATAATGATCCTACCAAAATTAATTAAATTAACATAGATAAATTACTAAACAGTCACAAACTGTTCTTAGGGAGACCGAGTTAAATTATAAAAGCCAATTCTCGATCCATAAACAAATACAATAATTATAACACAATATTATAATATTTATACTGATAAAATTTATTTAAATTTCAGGTAAAAAATGTCTACATTTATTTTATCATTAAATTATTTCCGAAAAAAAACTACTTTTCATTATACATTCTTTGTTTTTTTTTTTTTTGCTTTATTAATACATACACAATCTATACACAAACGGCACAATACGAGTATTAGCTAAGATAAACAAGAATGAAATATTGAATGAAAAAGCCACTCACCGATGACACTTTCGTCTTTTAATTATTTTGTTTTGTCCTTATACGCATATTTATATTTTTTTTTTTTTTTTTTTTTTNGGTTACCAGGGATGGTTAATGAAGATAGATTTTTTATGAGCTCATTTGGATGAGAGCTAAGGCGTAGGTGGAAACGTTTATAATAATTTTTTGCCTCTTCTTAAATTGTTTTCATACGTAGATCTTTATGCAGAGAGTGATTTGACACATATGGTGGACAATTGGTAATTTTTCTTAGTATTTTATTTTGGAACCGTTGAATTTTATTTAGGTTAGAAATTTTTGCGTTGCCCCATAGCTGTAAGCCGTACGTCCAGATTGGCTTTAGGAGAGATATGTAAAGGAGTAGTTTAATATTTAGGTTTAAGTGTTTGTTGTTGACGATTAGGGTTTTGAGTATTTGTAAGCGGGAGTTTAATTGTGATGTTTTGGCTTTGATGTGTTGAGCCCGAGTATTGCGGCGATCAATAGTTAGCCCGAGGTATTTAACGTTTGGAGATGAGGGAATCCGAGTGCCAAAAATTGATATCTCTGGACATGGTGCTAATTTAAGTGTGAATGTAGTATGTACTGATTTGGCTTGGTTTATTTTAAATCGCCACTTTTTGTACCAATCTTCCATAAGTGAGAGATGATTTAGTAGGTTTTTGGAGGCTATAATATGATCTGGACTGGATGATATTATGACTTTATCATCCGCATAGTCTGCTACTAAAGTGTTGGGTGTGGTCGGTTGGTCGGATGTATAAATATTGTAAAGAATTGGGGAGAGTATTCTTTGTAGATTTATAACATTATAATATGTATTTACACTGCCACTCATAAAAAGTAAGAAACCCAATCTCATTTTTTTCGTATTTCAAAGTATTCACTCAAAGGAAAATAACAATTTTAATATACTTCATTTGTCAGCCCATGGTAAAACGGTTTTATTACAATGAAAAAAAAAATGTAAATTTTATTGAATTAAAAATCGTGTGTTTAATTATATTATATAAAAAATCAACAATTATTTTATAAATGTACGTCCAATAATATTTTAGTTATTTAAATAGTATTTTTTATTAATAGTTATTAATGCTGAATCATTTTTTTTTTTTTTTTGAACATAAAATATTTATTAATTTTATAAATTTTTTATTCTTTTAACAAAAATAGCTTTTAAAAATTAATCCATCCCTTTTTAATCATAAAAATTTTAAAAAACTTAATTTTTAAACTTCATTTTGAATAAACGCAGACAAATATTCAAAATTGCAAAATATATAAAAAATACAATAATTTAATAGAATTTTCACAAATATCAAAAAATATTTTTATTATTTATGTACTTTTAAAATTGATCTTTATTGAATAAGATTTAAATATAAAATGTTCATTTTTTTTCAGTCTTTTATTTCAAAAACAATTAGAGATTTAAATAAAACTCAAATATGTACAGTTTTAAATTTTTCTGTATGAAATTGTTAAATAAATATTTATCAATTCTAAAATTCACCAATTCTTGATTTCAACTATAATACATCCATACTTTATAATAGTATTAAATAAAATTGTATCTATAAAAGTAATTACCCATTGAACATTGTCAGGTTCCACTTTAGTCGTAACAAAATCAAGGAGAACATTTAAAAGTAAACACGCCCATATAAATACATTTAAAAACATTTTTATTGGATTGAACTATTTTTTTTATTGAATATTCATTGTAAGTTAAAACTAGAATGCATTTTTTTAGCTCCGTTGCGAAACTAATAAATTTTTTTTAAATATAATTTAAATTACTTTTATGTATTTATTTAAGTGTTTTAGTCATGTAATAGAATATAAGTGTACATTAAAAAATGACATTTTTTTTCTTTTTTTCTTATTAGAAATAAATAATAAAATATTAAATAAAAAAACCCAGCACAGTGGCATCACGGAACTTTGAGACAAGTATAGATGATATCTGACGGTAATTTAAAACACTGTTATAAAAAAACACTATCGAAAATAATAAATTGACAGGTCAAAAACCATTTTTGAAAGTACTTCAGAAGTTATTAATATTTTTAAATGTAGAGTCGAGGAAGAGAGCGACAAAATAATACATAATGATAAAAATAAAATTACTCACACTTTACCTCCTCTTTATATTTTTAACTAGTTATAACTTCTGAAATAATATTTCAAAAGTTATCATCGACCAGTGATTTATTTAATTAGATCATTTTTTATTTTATAAGCTAGTTAAATATGAATATTGCCATTTAAAAAAATAATATTGGCACTCTTATAAGATATAAAAGATGAATTTAAAAAAAAAAACCCAACACAGTGGGGTCGCGGCATAGTAGGGATGTTGCATAATTGGGTCCAGTATTGATTTAATCTGACAGTGATTAAAATCACTATCATAAGAAACGCTTCGATGCAAATTTGTAGATAGTGTTTAATTTAAAAAAATTGATGGACAGAAGCAACATCAACTTCTATTTCCTTAATTATACCCAGATTAGTATTTTTTTTAATTATATATTATATAATTTTTAAAAATAATTGTTTTCAAATTATTATTGATATTGATTTTTAATATGTTAAAAGTAATAATTTTGAACCTACTTTTTTTTGTCCTTTAAAGTGAAAGTTTTAATAGAACAAAAATGAATTTATTACCATAACTTTTAGCTCAACTTGCAAGTTTGAAATTGACATTATTAAATAGAAAAAAATGAAAATGTTAAGATTAATAGGGTCAGGAGGGGTAATTGTGAATAGGGATAATTGTAAATGAGGCTGGTATTCTAATAAAATTAATAAATTATAACCATCGAACTCGATAAAATTATTATTTAATATTTTTTCTCCCATCAATCATATTTATTACAGTATTTTAGAGGTTATGTCATTTGTATTATCATTTATAAAAAGTGCACTGAAAAAACATTCATTTACATTTACCCCAATATCAAAGGGGTGGGTAATGGTAAATATCTATGGTAATTGTAAATTACAGTTTTTTAGATTTGAAATTAAAAATTTACTAAAACTACATTAAAACTATATTTATTATGTCCACTAGTACATATGTATAATAATATAATAAATGTTTATGTAAGTAAACAGTCATAAATACAAGTTAAAAATCACTTTGATAGAATCATTTACAATTACCCCACCTGACCCTATGCAACAGGAAATTTTATAATTACTATTTACAGTACATTTATCAGAAAAGTTCGATTTTTTTTACATTTTTGTTGTATTAGATCACTTAAATAAAATAAAAATCATAGTAATCATTTCTCATTAACTTTTGGTGTTTAAAAAAATTCTACAATGGAAATATTCAGAATTTAATTAATTTTAATGATTATATATCTAAAAAAACCAATAAAAAACATTTACTCAATTGAGCGTATTATAATATTTGGAAATAATTGTAAAAATCCATCGTTAAATTCAGGTGAAACTAAAAATCATTTTTTTTTAAATTTATGATTTATATAGCAACATGTTACAAAAAAATTATAGACTGGTAGTAGCACACACAAATGGAGTTAAAAATTAATAAATTACAAAGTAAAATTATTTACTTTTGTAGTTGAATACTTTTATCATATCAAATCTAATTCGAAAATAAATACTTTAAGAATATTAGAAATTAATGATTTTAATTGTTTGTATGGAAAAAGCTACTTTTTATTTGAATAAGGAATATTTTTTCGATTTTTAAGAGTAATAACTTAAAGTAAATACAAATTGTAATCATTTGACGTATCGTTAAAAAAAGTAGGTCTAGTGAGGATTGGCAAAATAAATCGTAGCCACAAAAAGAACCACATAGTAAAATAATATTAACATGAATATAAATTTCTTCTCACGAGGGGAGACTATAGTGATAGGATCCTTTATATTTATTGAAGTTATTGAATCTAAATGAGATGAATATCAAATGATTTGAACATTTTATTCTAACTCAAAAAAAAAATTCAAAATATTAACTGCCACAGACGGATTTGAACCTCGTACCCTATGCGTGAAAGACACAAGTGTTACCGATTCGGCAACTGTTCGTTGCTTTCGTCGCATGATAAAATTAGCTATTTAAGCTAACTCAAATTTAAAAGTTACTTTTTCGACTTTAAAAAAGCAAAAAAATTTAAATAAGTTTAATTTCTTATATTTTTAAATAAAATAAAATACAAAACCCAATATTTTAATACATAAATAGCGTTTTTTAACAACGGCAGCCGTTTACATGCATAAAGTGTCAGGACAAATTTTTTTTTTTTCATTTTACAGTAAATAAAATAAGCTTTAATTTGCTATATGTTTAAAGGACGCAGTATATTCGGAACATTTTCAAAAAGTAAGTTGAAAAAGTTAGTTTTTGTAAAAAAGTTGCTATATTAAAACCCCCCCAGTGAGCAGGTTAAGTGTTAAATTTTCAAAAAAATGATATCAAATGAAAGTGAAATATCTAAGGTTTTAGTATAAAAATTATTATATTGATTCATTGATTTTTGAAAAAGTTATGGAAGTTTTAAGAAACAATTTGTGATCTTTTGACGTATTGTTGAAAGAAATCGGTCCAGTGAGAGCTGAGAAAAAGTAGTGATACAAAAAAAAAATAAATAAATAAACACATAGTAAAACCAATACCTTCTCAGCTTCGCATCGAAGCTAATATTAATCACAATTGGCTAATATTATTCAAAATTAAGATTATATTAAGAATATTAATTTAAAATAAAAGATTATTTTAAATATTTAACTCAAAAAAGCACAAAAATCACTAAGAAAAATCGCGGATTCATATTTCATGAACAATGTTACCATTATCAACGCTAAAAACAACTGATAAAAACCTCTTATATACCTCCTAGTTACTTTATAACTAAGTAATATTATCACTTTTTGCTAGTTTAAACAAGTTTAATAATGAATTTTTTAGTGGTTATTTTTAAATATTTCTTTGTTATACATATTAGTTTAAATTTTGAAAAAACTGAATATTTTTTAAAAATTAAATAATTCAAAATATTTAGCAATTAGTATTACATTTATTTTTTTTATTAGTTTTTTGATTTATTAAATTATTAAAATTATTTAATATCGACTAGAAAAATAAAATTATAATGTGATTGTTTAATACCAGCAATTTAATTTTTTTTTTTAGCTTCGATGCGAAGCGGAGAAGGTATTAATTTTACTATGATGTGTTTTTTTTTTTTTTTTTTTTTTTTTTTTTTTT